GACCCAAGCAGATGGAAGAGTATTCTTCGGGAATGCACATTAGAAGAATGGAACCGGCATTGGGTGACAACGCCAAAAGGTTCAACCTTAAGGAAATACTTCCCCACCGTCGGTTGAACAATGGAAACTACATGGCTCCTCCCGGACTAGTGAGTCTCGGGGGTATGGGGGATTCCGAGCAAAGCTTGTACAACATGGTAAGAACATCGATCACCTATGCCCAATGTATAGGGTACCGAAGACCGCCGAGCACATCTTACTAGTCTATGAGGCACTGAGGGCTAAGTTGCTGAGGGAGACAGGGTTCGATGTCTTATCGGAGCGCGATCTCCCTCATCTAGTGACCAAAGAGAACTACCCGCACTACAAGTCCTTTGTGTACGGCTGGAAAGACGTCATTGGCCCAGCCCACTTCTATTTGGGAAGAAGAGAAGAAGCTCCACCACAGAGGATAGAAGAGCCAAGATAAGCAGAAAATCTAATTATATCGATTGCAGTATTGGATAGTTAGGCACGCACTTGTAGTTATCCACTACTGTTAACACTCATATTGCCTAACAGGCAGGGTAGAGCCTTAAATAAATAAATATTATCTACGATTTTTTTAAATTATACTTTCGCTTACACTGGTTTAAGAAGAGGGAAACAATAAAATATCTTGGGAGAGGTGGTGGAAATTCATCCCTGCATGCACCATATCTCAGGGCTATTGATGTCCTGGAAAACCTCATCGTGATTCCCGATTAAAGTACTTGGGAGGGAGAATAAGATCCATCTTCACTCCTACGCCCGATCGGTGTGAGGTGCATCCAATAGGCTGGGGGATCTCACATACGGGGCGGAGACCATCCAAATACTAACTACGTTCGACAATGCTTAACTTTGACTACTAAACGCATAAGTCCGCTCAGCTATCCAGATTTTCGGTAAATTTTTGGTCTCTCAACAGATGATTTTGTGTTATAATTAACTTTTTTTAGAAAAAAAAATCTGGTGCGGTGCGCGAATCACACAACTTTCACTTACCACCCTCTTTTTAACACACACACAAAGGAACAGGTTATTTCGACTTTCGGCAGAACAATTTAAAACGTTAATAGAAAAGCACTTCTCGTGTAAGCAAAACACGTGTTCTTCTTAGTTATACAAACTAGTAATTTATAATTATCAAATAAACATTCTTGAAGCTCGAGATAAGGTTTTACTTAAGTGTTTACATTCTTTATCAATGTTGACTTCAGAAGTGGTATTTTAAACATAATAAGAGAAACATTGTTGTGATGATAATAAATTAAAATGTTAATCATTGAAGGCTATTTGCATAAAAAAAAAAAAATTAGTTAAGCGTTAAACGCCAAAACATTTATCGTCTTTTTAGCCCTGATGAAGGCTTGTAAATCGGTTTGAAACGTATATATTCAATAAATAGTTTTTACTATTAAAGATTTCTTATTTGATCGTAATCCTGTTTAATGACATTTCTTTATATGAAGGCAAGGAAGTTAATATGGAACACGTAGCTTGAAACAATCCTATATGTTGAAGCCCAAAAAGCAGATGGATAAATGGAACCAACAAAGATCCAATAGAGCTGCATGTAGATAACTAGAAAGCAATGAGCCACAGGCGGATCTAGGGGGAGGGAACTTTTGGGCTGAAGCCCCCCCCCCCCAAATGGTTAAATATAACCATGTTTTATGAAAAAAAACTTTATTAATTACCTCTACAAGTATTATTGTTCTTGTAATTAAATTTAATAGTACTTGACGAATCACTTAAACTCTTATTTCATGTAGAAAGTTATTTTCTTTCTTTTTCTTCATAAGTAATTATCTTTATATATTTAAAAAAAAAATCTTTTGGGCTGAAGTTCCCCCAAAACTAAATCCTGGGTTCGCTAATGCAATGGGCTAAGATGCTCAGAGATTGAGAAGGTTGGTTGAAGCGGGTACATGCAGATGAAGAGTGATATAATTGTATCGCTCCTCGAAGAAATTTCATTACCCTCCTCTTTATAATTTTGCAAGCGAAAGAAAAATAATAAAAATCGTAGTTTATACACAATACATTTGCTGTGGTTTGCATTAAGTTTTCCATAGTTTGAAAGTTCTTCCTCAATTAATGTTTCAAAAATGCGAACCGTACAAATGTGCCCCCACAAAACGTTTTAGGGTGTACCTCGCGTCTTGCCAACCCCTTTCAGAAAGAAATTCAAGCTATTAACTATCCAAAAATTGTTTCTTTGGTGATTCATAAATTTATTGTTAGTTAAGTCATTTAATTTCTGTCTGAATTTTCCAATTCCTACTCAGTTGAAGCCGGTGTTCCTCAAGCTAGCATCTTGGGGCACATCCTTTATATCCTGTTTACCGCTGATATCGCTGTCCATCCCCATATTTTCTTGGCAACATTTGCTTATGGCACCGCCATCCTATCATTGAACTCAGATCCCGAAATAGCATCTTTAAATCTGCAAAGGCACCTCTCTCTGATTGCGCACTGGTGTAATAAATGGCGCATCAAAGTAAACGAATCCAAATGCAAACATTACCTTCAGACTCCGGCGTAGATTCACTTTAATTCCATCCAGCTTTCTTTTTCAGATACTTTTTCCGGTATCTTGGCTTTCTCTTAGACCCAAGACTTATGTGGAATCCACATACTAGACTCAAAAGACAAGAACTTAACAGATCATACGGCCAATAATACTGACTACTGACTAGAAAATCTCAACTTTCGATTGGCAACAAATTACTGATGTACAAGACAATACTGAAACCTATTTGGACCTACAGGCTTAAACTTTGGGGGACAGCAAAATTATCTAAAATTCAAAACCCTACATCATGGCCTTAATAGTCCATTTGTCCTAGACCTTATCTCTGAGAATATTTCCAAATTCCATCAGAACGTTACAAATCATCCAAATCCCCTAGCACAATCCCTACCTAGTTCCACTCATCCCTACAATCCTCGTCGAAGGTTAAATCGGCAGAGGCTCAAAGATCTTTTGTAATATATATCTTGGAGTTCTGAATTTTAAGTTTGGCCTCAAAGACAACCATAATTTTTCCACATGACTCAAAAAATATTCTAAGTATATGCAGTGTACCTGCTAAACAAATTTAATAAAACTTCAAGGTTATAAGTAAAGTCCGGATTTTTTATGCAACTGCATATATTGTTTGCATGCATTTTTAAACTATAGTTCGATTATCCTACATATTATTTCTAAAAAGTGTTTTTTTTTCGGTACGCCATAACTTCATCAAATCCAATAATTGACCACTCATTTTGAAGATATTCTTCTCCTTCACATGCCTATCCTCCCGAAATTTCTGGGGAAAAAGTTATGAAGGAAAATAAACATTATTTGTAAATAACTCAAAACGTATGCATTTTTTTTGTAATGATGTACAGATGGTTGACCGTTGATATAATATGAGAAGGAGTTAGTCGAGGGTGCGGTCAAATAAATAAAAAAATTAAAATATATAAATTATTTTAATTTTTGCCGAAGTTTCGACCCACTTTGCAGGTCGTCTTCAGGGCTACAAAAGATACAAAACATGTTGAAAATAAAAAATAAATATAAGTATATATAAAATACGAAGAAGTTGTCAGATATAGAAATAAAAGATGGTATCAGAGATATAATGAGTGACAATGTAGTTAAATATTAAGAATTATATATGTAGAAGATACAAATAAATGGAAAATAAGTAGGAATAAAAATAAAAATAAGGGAGAATATATTTTTATTCCTACTTATTTTCCATTTATTTGTATCTTCTACATATATAATTCTTAATATTTAAGTACATTGTCACCCACTATATCTCTGATACCATCTTTTATTTCTATATCTGACAACTTCTTCGTATTTTATAAATACTTATATTTATTTTTTACAGTCAACATGTTTTGTATCTTTTGTAGCCCTGAAGACGACATGCAAAGTGGGTCGAAACTTCGGCAAAAATTAAAATAATTTATATATTTTAATTTTTTTTTTATTTATTTGACCGCACCCTCGACTAACTCCTTCTCATATGCATTTTTTGATTGATTGTACCCATGATAATTAGAAAGATTACTAAATTACCTACAAAACAAAAAATAATTAAAAATCGAACAATTATTAACAAAGATACAGTCTATTAGTTTTGGTATACTTAATAATGTGTTCCGATTTAAAGATACAGCATTTAGGAATAGAATAGTCTATTACATTTTTTTTCTTGGCTGTTATTATTAACTTTATTATTTCTTAAAGACATTTGTTTGTTTTTACATTTAATTTTTTTTTTAAATAATTTAGAATATCCCATGATCGGGGAATTATTTTCCCTTTATTACTTTTATTATCTTTCCAGTCAGCGTTTAAAAATAGGTCCTGGCAAAGCAATTTGTCTATTATGTTTAATGTAATATTGCAATCGACCAAGGAAAAAATATATTAATTCCTTCCTTACATAATACATAGGAAATACTTATTTCCATATTGTTTTGCTATTTCTTCACTAAACAAAATTGCGAATTTTTCGTACGGGCCAACTAGTATATATTAATAGGTTTTCTACATAGTCGCGAAGAAATATATTTAAAAAATAAAATTGTTGAAAACAAGTATAATTTTTTTTTTTTTTTTAAATACAATTAAAATACTTTAAATATATTCCTATCGCAACGTAAGAGATAATTTTCAATGTTAACAACGTTTACATTCGTTACATGTAATTCAACATGAGGGTATGGTAAACAATAAAGAGTGAAGAATTATCTAAATTAATTCTTTATTATACAGCGCATTGCAAGCAATAGTATCTCAATTGAGGGCCCCCCTTCTCATTCTGAATAACAACTCCCTCTATTTTATTGATCGCGCTGTGTGGGCGGGGTTTCGAAGAGCAGCAAGGACGTTTCGTTTTAAAAATTAAACTAATTCCACAAGTTGCATCTATTCCATTCAACGCAGAACCATGGCACTGAGGCACAAGATGTTTATAAATAAGAAAGCATTAGGAACATTAGTAAAACAAGGTAAGTGAATAAAATACATAAATATATTACAATCGCTGTTTTATTTACAAAATAAATTACAAATAAACTTCATTTAAACTAAAAATATAAATTTTATAGTGCGATTATTTAGCAATGGGGTTCCTGGAGAGCCTTCAGCACCTTATTTGCAGACTGAAGTACCTGGACCTAAATCCAAAAAATTGATGCAAGAAATGGAAAAAATTCAAGTACGTTAATTCTCTTTAAAATCATTCTTCTTTTTAATACTCGTTCAGAATATTAACTTCTCTTTTCTTTCATATTTCAGCAATCAGGCACCGTTCAAATGTTCGTAGACTACGAAAAATCTCTAGGCAATTACATCGTAGATTGTGACGGAAACGTTCTTTTAGACATCTACGGACAAATTGCCTCAATGCCTCTTGGATACAATCATCCTCATTTGCATGAAATTTTGAAAAAACAATCAAACATCGTGAGTATCCCGCTTCCTAATTAATATCAATTCATGGCGTATTCTATGCTAAATGGTATATTAATTATAGTGGATGTAACACTCAACCAGGATATTATGATATTATTTTTCACGTCATCATTCCAAAGCAAATCAGAAGTTTTACACGGATGCAAAAAATAATAAGGTCTCTTGAACAAGGGATGTTCGCACTGGCTTATATTCTTTTTCAAAATTTCGTTCAGACCACTATAAATAATTTCACTTACTTTTTGAAAGTTCACCATTTCTCCTTCTGTGCTGGTTACTTTAAAATATAGAACTGGAACTTCAAAGCTTAAACTGTATAAAATGTGATATTCCCACAAATAAGTTTCTGAATTTTTTATGTTCCTTAATTCTCTTTTACGCAGATATTGTCCACCAGGATCGGACGGCTGCTGTATCGCCTTTAATTCCCAACCATCGTTAAGTTTATTTGATATTTCTACAAACCGTTTAGCATCTTCTATAAAACGTTCCCAACTCAAACGACCCATAGACGATTAAGTCAAAACACTCACTAAATCAATTTACTGATCATAACCTGATTTAAACTCCTTTGTTGTTTGTTTACATTTGTTACCATCGATTGTAATATCAGCTATCGATTGTATTATTCCCTATCATTTGATATAGAACTATCGATTACTGAACTAAAAGAATAAAATTTGAATTTTTAAAATCACTGCTCTTAACACAGCATTTGATAAATTTTAAATTACATAATATCGTTAGTTTATCTTTAGCACAATTGAATCCCAGATAAGAAATTAAATTGTTCATAACTATAAATTATTTTAAAATGTTTTATGATCTTAAAAGGATCTGGTGGTCATTTAACACAAACATGAACATATATAACTAAAGAAACAATAAAAAAAAAATCTAGCCAAAACATATAAATACCAAGTTACACCAGCGGATCCAGGATTTAATTTGGGGGGGGGGACTTCAGCCCGAAAGATTTTTTTTCATATACATATAACGATAATTAATTTGAAAAAAAAAAAGAAAGAAATTAACTACCTATATGAAATAATGTTTAAGTGATTTTTAAAGTCCTATTAAATGTAATTAAACAAACAAGAATACTTTAAGAGATAGTTTTTAATATTTTTTTTCTGTAAAATATGGTTATATTTTACCATTTTACCTGACCTCATAAACATAATTTAATTTTTAAAAGATCTCATAAAATCATAATTATTTAGAACCTCATAATACATTGCAGAACAATATCCAAAATTAAACCAATTATTGTTTCTCTCTTTTTTTTTAGGTTTGGTTTTTTATTTACTTTGAAATTAAAATTGATATTATTTTATTATAATTATTTATGATAATTCTTTTTCTTTTAATGTGTTTTCAATTCTTTATTGAGAAATATTACAATCTGTCACATATAAGTACAATAGTAATAGTGATAGAAGAATAGCTCATTTACGCTCTATGTTCAATAAATAAAAATAAATAAACAGCAGAATAATAATGCTAAAATTAAATGTTTATAAACTAAAAGAAACTAAACTAATCAAAATAACTACTCAAATACACACATACTATTTATGATAATTAAGCTAAACATATATTTTGAAAAAAAAAAAAAATTTATTTATTCAAATATATATGTATATGAATGCTTAAAGGAAAGTTTATAAGTTTCAAACATTTTTATTTAATCCGCCATATCACAAGTACTTTTATTATCTTCGATACCTTCAAGTAAAATTTGTTTTTGTTTAAAAAAAAATACTAATTAGCAATTACCATGCTTTTTCAAATATTTAGTTTTAATTTTATCTTCTTTTTTCAAGGCTACGTTAGTTAACAGACCAGCTCTTGGTGTCTTTCCAGGAAGCGATTGGCCAGAAAAATTAAATAATGTCTTACTTAAAGTGAGTATTTTCAATTTTTAAATAACATATTTAATGAAAATTTGTGAAAAACAAACCTTTTTTTTATTTAATTTTTTTCCAGAATGCTCCTCCGAAACTTAATATGGTCACCACTATGATGTGTGGTTCATGTTCAAATGAAAATGCTTACAAAATGATGTTTATGGCATACATGAAGAAACAAAGAGGGGGAAAAGAAACATTTACCAAAGAGGAAGAAGAATCTTGTATGATAAATCAAGCTCCTGGTGCTCCGAAGCTTAGTATACTCTCTTTCATGGGTATACAAAAAAAATTATTTATTCATTTATATTATTTTCTAATATTATTATTATTTAAACCCTAAACCATCTAAACAACCTATAAAAATAGAGATGACAACTAAAAAACGTAATTTTTTTTGGACCCACAGGGCAATAAGAATAATATCTTTAAAAAGATGATAAAAATTATTTTTTTCCAATTATAATATCATTGTATCTATATGAGACAATAAAATAATGTATACGAGTTTAAAGAATTGCAAAAATACTTTAATTTACAAAAGTGAACTTTATTCATGATTGATTATAAATGGAACTTTTTTTAGAACCAAAGCTATGTACATAATGTATTAAAGAAATATTTAAATATTTTAGGGGCCTTTCATGGTCGTACCATGGGATGTTTAGCTACAACCCACAGTAAGGCAATTCATAAATTGGACGTTCCTTCAATGGATTGGCCAATCGCAGATTTTCCTCAGTATAAATATCCTTTGAGTGAAAACGAAAGGGAAAATAAAAAAGAGGATGAAAGATGTCTTTCTATGGTTAGTGTTTTTTTTGTTATGTTTTCCATATATTTTTATTCTAATTTATTCTCACAAATATTTTAAAATAGCAGCAAATGTGTCTAGGAGACAATTATTAATATAATATGTATCATTTCTGCAGCAGTTTGTAAAGAAATATATTACAACAATATATATATATATATATATATATATATATATATATATATATATATATATATACATATAACACTAAAGTGAACATAGATGACAAAAGAAATAATAAGAAATACATATATATTGTAAAAATTTAAAATTTTTGTCAGATAATTTTTTTAAAGATCCTGTATGGGTTATCATTAAAAACATTGGGTTGAAAATAATGATTTAGACTATTGGGTAAAAAAAAAATATTTACATTTTATACATAGAATATAATGCATTAATAAAAAAAATAAAAATTGATAATATAAATCAAATTTCTTTTTTTATTTTTATTTATTCATGAAATTTACTACTGTATAAATTAAATGTATATCTGGTAAATGTGTACAGAGAAATACAATAGTATGAAAAGAATTGTAGAGGATCAACCCATTGGTAGAACTCTAACAAAAACCAAATTAAATAGAAAATAGTAATTTAAATTTTATCTATATTTAATGTTATAAAATCATCTAAATCCATTTGTTTAGATTAAATTAATAAACAGAAATGTAAAAAAAAAATTTAAACTTGATTCTAATGAAATTTTATTTTCATAAAAATTATGTAATATAATATAAAGAATCGATTTAGGATATTGAAACATATTTATTTTTTATATTTAAATTTTTTGTTGGTGAAAGAGAAAAATATATAAATATTTATGAGGGTAATTTTGATACTCCACTTTTGTTTGTATGGCGAGAAGGTGGCTGAAAATCAGTATATTATGTTCAAATAAGTATTAAGAATTAAATGAAATTGTTTACAAATAATTCACAGGGTATTGAATAATCATCAATAAATTACACAACTAAAAAGTTTAATAAACATAAAAAATTATAGGTTGAAGATCTGATAAATACGTGGAATAAAAAAGGTATGCCAGTTGCCGGCATTACGATTGAGCCAATACAATCTGAAGGAGGAGATAATGAAGCTTCGCCGGAATTCTTCCAAAAGCTGCAGGTCATCAGTAAAAAAGTAAGTTTATTTAAAAATTCATGTATTTAATTTATTTATTTATTAATATTAAATAAATTATTTTTATTATGTATCACCGCAGAATTTTTCATGAAACATGAGAAAAGAGCCTGTAAATATTTATTATTATGTGTACAAAAAATAATAATTATCAGTAATAATTTAAAATGATAATAAAATCATTAATGCATTTATATTTATTATTTATGTAACTAGTCCTGTCATTAATACTGCTACAAAAGCTAAACTTTGTTATATCCTTGTGTATTATTTAGATAATCCTTACCTCAATCAGGTTATTTTCTTTACATGTCAGTTTAATAATCCTAATTAGTTTGTATTTTTCTTTCGCTTAGTTAACATGGAGTGGGGTGATTAAAAAAACCAAATAGCTGTGATCACCTTACATTTTTTTTTTTTTTTATTTCTTTATGACATTTACAACTGTATTACATAAATACATCAAGTAAATTTGGACATAATTGATATAATGACATGAATACACTTGCTGAGTTACTACCCAATGGTAGCACTCTAATTCACCTTACATAAAGTTGGAAAATGTAGGTCAGAGATTTTCAACACTTTGAAGCCTTTGGGTATGTTCGTGTACCGCACTATAAATAGATATAATGAAACCCTATCTGTATGTGACAAACCTTGATCCGTCCCCGAACTATAAGAGCGGTAATGCAGTGAGAGCAGTGGCTGCTCAATTCAGAAGAAATCCCATTTGAAAACAACAAATCATGTCTCGGGAAATGGGAATCTCTGTCAGATCAATGTCTTGTATAATAAAAAGTGACCTTAGGATGGCTGCATTTCGAAGAATGACACTTCTCTAAAAAAAATTAGAGTGGGTAGTTGCAAAGTGATCCTTGGCCGTTACAACAATGGTCTTCATCGAAATATTTTGTTTAGTGATGAGAAAATGTTTACAATTGAAGAAAAATTCAATCGCCAAATGATCGTGTGTACGCACACATCTCTAAAGAAGCACAGGAAGTCATTGAAAGATTGGAAAGAGGTCATCACCCTTCCTCAGTGATCGTTTGGTGGGGAGTTTTTCACAAAGTTCTATTTTTGTGAAAAAGGAGTTAAAACAGCCGCTAAACATTATCAGGACAATATTTTGGAACCTGTTGTCAGGCCTCTAAATGATACTCTGTTTGTTGGAAGTCATTGGGTTTTCCATCAGGATTCTTCTCCAGCACACAAGGCCAGGTCAACTCAGTATTGACTGCGAATCAACATTCCAGAGTTCATCTCTGCCTCAAATTGTCCATCAGGAAGCCCTGATCTCAACCCACTAGACTATCGTATTTGGTCCGAACTGGAGAGGATGGCATGCCACAGAGCACACCCTAACTTGGAAAGCCTCATACAATCTCTGGTCCGAGCAGTTAGCGCTTTCCTCAAGAAGTGCTGCGTACTGCTATTGATGGTGCCATGGAGATTAAATGCCTGTGTCAAGGCAAAAGGGGGACATTTTGAGTAATTTCATTTTTGTTTGACTCTCTAGAGATATAGATTTTATTTTCTAATAAAGTTTTTGAAAACATTAATTTTTCTGTTGTAATCTGTATATATTTCCTTGTAACAATATTTATGACAGGACAAGGTATAGTATATGCCGAGTCAAAGTGGCTCTTCCCCTCTTCCCGCCGCCTATACTTCCTTGGAAATTTCATATATCAAACGATCAACTCCCAGCACCCTTCCTATATCTACCATCTCCTCCAGCCTAAATGTTTAGTCCACTCAATAAAAACGAGATCCCGTGATTCTGACCTCTATATTCCATTCCACAAAACAAAAACCTATGAACGTTCCTTCTTAGCCCGCTCCGTCGCCTACTGGAATTCTTTGCCACATAACATCCGTCATGCCTCTTCACTTTCAACTTTCAAATACCTCCTTTTCCAATATCTCCTTACATTCCAAACAGACGATTCACAACCATAAAATTCATTTTAGGAAATGAATTTATGAGAAGTAAATGGTAATGCCTACTGTTTAAGTTTTAACATAAAACAGCAATGATCCTTGACTATTATTTTTACTGTTTATTTGTATTTATCTTCATCTCAGGTTGTGCTTTTTCTTTCGGGTATATATGTTTATATTTAATACTTTTTGTCTCTCTGTGTACCGAAATGAGTAAGTACGTATATGTAGTTCCTTTTTTACCTTTATGCCACAATTAATCCTGAGATTTTATTTTATCATAGTGTTTGCTAATTATTGTATGAATCACTGTAAATATTATTATATTTTGTATTAAATTATTTTTCTATTACATAGCCTATTGTTTATAAATTGTGCAGTTATGTATATATAGATATTTAATTTCTTTTTTTTTTTTTTTTTTTTTATCATAATAATAAGTAATTTTGACAAGATTGTATGTTCATATATATATATATATATATATATATATATATATATATATATATATATATATATATCTTTTTTTTGTTTATTTCTTAGTGGTTACATACTACTTTTTAAATAATGTTAGAATTTGTATAAGTTAGTTTTTGGCCAGATTTGTATTTTATTTTGTATTAATTTATCTTTGTTATTCTAAGGGGACTTAGTCCCAGAATAAAGTTCTATTTTCTATTCTTTTCTATTGTATAATTTATAATTTCTTTGTGATAGTATGGATGCGGCCTGCTGATTGATGAGGTTCAGACAGGATGCGGTGCGACCGGTAAAATGTGGTGCCATGAATATTTCAACTTGCCACACCCTCCCGACGTAGTAAGCTTTAGCAAGAAGATGCAGCTTGGAGGATACTATCATACAGAAGATTTCATGTAGGTATTGAGTTAGAAAACCTTAAAACAAACCACGATTTGTTGGCTTCCGAGGACAAACTCATGTAACACTAAGTTGGAATTAACATTTTATTTTACCCTCTAATATTACATAATATTTAAAAATTTGCTCATATCATTGGTTTATTGCCAAAAGTCATTAAGTGACTTATAACCTTAAGTAGTTAATCATTTTTTGAAAAATTTTCACTTTAGGAAATTAAAAAATTATGCAATTGTAACTAACTATATTTGATATACAAAAGAGTTTGTTTCATTTTCATATATTTACAATGTTTGTTTTTGTATTGATAAACGAAGAGTTTTTGTGAAGTCGAAATTCACAAAAACATACCGGAAAGTCAATCTATATCAAAAATGCACTTTATGACTTTTTACAAAAAATGATGATAAATGAAACGATTACAATATGATATAATTATAAATAGTTTTATGAGAAGGCATTAATCGGGGGGTGCGTTCAAATAAATAAATATTTATTTGACCGCACCCCCCGATTAACTCCTTCTCATATTATATCAACGGTCAACCATCTCTACGTCATCATAAATAGTTTTAAAGTAATATTGATGGATAAGGGGAAAAATAAAATTTTTGTTTTAACTTAGTGACACATGAGTTCATATCTCAGGCTGCCAACTGATTTTGGCGTGACTATGCAAAAATTTAATTTAACCAATAATAGATTAAGATTTTCAAAGGAATGCAGTACCCTAATATTTAAATTCCAACAATATTAAATCTTTAAACAAGAAGATGTTTTTATTTTATATATATATTTTTTTTCGGTTGACGCTTCAGACCGTGCAGATCTTTAACCGCGAGATGTGGTCTCCTAGACCACATCCCCATTCTTGATTTAAGTACATGGGGGTAGGGTCATCAGTCCTACACTCTGTCAGTGTGAGCTGCCTCCAGTAGGCTGACTGGTCTCACATACCCGGAGGGATATGATATCTTGCTCGGGCAGCATAGCTTTCCCTGCCGAATAGCCACCCGAATTGGGCGGTCACCCACCCAAGTGCTAACCATGCTCAGCATTGCTTAACTTGGTTACCTTTTGCAAGCGCCTTGACCACACCCTAAAGCTTCCGCAGTCAAAAGGTTAATAAAAGCCAAAAATTCATACTATATATGTATAGATATATATGCATATATATATATATATATATATATATATATATATATATAGTATGAATATATATGATTGCGGGAGCTTATTTTAGTGTTTCTACCAGATGGCAGATCCTGAAATCCAAAAAAAAGTTCAGAAAAACGGATTTTTTTTTGCATAAATTTGTTTAAAATACTATCTTGAGTCACCCTGCAAAATCTTAGCTTTCAAAAATGCATTTAACCTTTTTATTTACCTTTTAATAAATGGGACATATGCCTTCCCGGCTGCACATGTCAACGAAAAATAAGAATGGCAATACCGTAACACTTCGCTATCTTGCATATTTGCTCATTTATGAAAAGAAAAATAACTGAAAGTTATCATAAGAATAACTGTAATGATCATACAAATTAAATTATATTATTTTTAAAAAAAGGACACCACCTTTGAAAAAAGTTCTGCATTGAAACATAGCGCAGTTATAAATTTTATTATTCCACTTATATTTATTTTGAGTTTCAAACACTGTATATATTTCATATAATAACATGATTATATATATATATATATATATATATATATATATATATATATATATATATATATATATATACTTTTGAAATGAGATATATATATATATATATATATATATATATATATACTTTTGAAATGAGATATATATATATATATCTCATTTCAGCTGAATGGAAAAATGATAAAACAGCTAAAGTATCATTTTAATTCTGTATATTTTTACATTTATTAATTTTTACAATTACATTTTAAAGTTTGTATATTATTACATTTACTTATTAAATTATACATAAAATATGTAGAAAACTTACATTTATTTGTTTATTAGACAGAGATTCATGTGTAACAACATTCAGTCAAAACGTTAATTGAAAAAAAAGAAAAATATAAATTATAAAATTAAATTATTAACATTTATTTGATATATAAATAAGAAATAGAATATAAATAAGATCATGTGTATGATGCAAGTAACAGAGAAATACTTTGGGTTCAGAATAAATCTGCAACTGATAGTTTCCAAATGCTCAGAATCTAGAACAATCACACTGAGTCACCTATATATATAGGGAACTAATGGATGCACCGACCAAGCCACAATTTAAATGATGACTTGCCCCTACCTATTTAAGTGGCGACAGCCAAGGCGGGAATACATATATCCATTCCGCACTACTGACCCAAATCATTGCCGGGAAGGCATATATTCCACCCACAGAAGTGACCCAATTCCTAACAGGAAGGCATGTATCCCCTCGTCCGCAGTAAAAGGGTTAATCATTTTCAAATAGTCTAAAAAGATCAGATTGACATAATTTGATAGGGTCCAGTTTCATTTGTCTGCGCTCTTATTAATTAAGTAAAACAATGTTAGTTAATTAAATATAATTGATATAATATAACTGTATAATATAATAATATAATTAAATATGATTGTTTTCAATTTAGGATAAGTACACCTTTGAGGATTTTCAACACGTGGCTCGGCGATCCAGGAAAGATAGTTCTTCTCGAAGGAATAATGGATGTAATTCGACAAGAGAAACTTTTAGAATTGGTCGTAAGTGTCGGTCATGTTCTCGAAGATGGCCTGAACGACTTGTCGAAAAAATATAGTAATATCATCAATTCCCCGAGAGGTAGGGGTACATTCAGAGCATTCAATGGCAGAACAACAGAAGTAAGGAACCAGATTACCAGCAAATTAAAACAAAAAGGTAAAAGAAAAAATTAATTAATTTTAAATTTGTATTACAATTTTATTATTTCATTCGACAATGTTTCATTAAAGTATGATTTTGATTTTTTTTTTTCTGCCCAATTCTGCAAGAAATTTTCTTATTTAATTATAATGATATAGATATTTGAACAAGATTTTACTTATAATTATATAAATATCAAACCTTAATTATGTTAAATCAAGTTGGCATAATCAGATGCCTAAACTAGCTCCATATATAATTTTTCATAGTTCTATCTTCAGTGCTTAGATTTATTACATCATCTCCATAAAAAAAAATTATTTGTTAAGTTGTTTTACATTAAATAATATTTTTATATTTTCCTTGATTCTTTTAGGTCTTAAAATATATTACAATCAACTTCTTCAGTTAGCCTCTTATATTTATTTTATTTTTATAAACTATATTATATATTAAATAATTAAACGTATTGAGAGTCTACTTTATATCATTTTTTATAATAATTTATGATTCATAAGGCAGTAAGTAATGATCATTATTTATTATTATTCAATATATAATTAATATGTGAACAATTTCTTTTTTATTTATTCATTGTTGTAATGAAAATAATCATCTTAGACTTTTGAGAAAGTTTTCTTAATCTTTATGATCTCCTAACTATATTTTTTAAAATTTACTATTAATTCATCCACCTTCATAGACTTCTACAAATTCATTCGTACATCTTTAGAAATATATAAGTAAAGCTGAAGATTTTTTTTTTTGCTTGACTGTTTAATTTCTGGAACTATGTATTCAATCATAAATTTTAGATTAAGTTAATCAGACACAATTGAATATAGGAAATTGGGAGCCCATGTTTTCTTGAGCTCAGAAGTTGCCCCATTCCTACCCACGTTTCTTTGCTCCTGGAGATAACATAGGTATAGAACCCAGGCCTGAATATTCTTTTTATTAATTATAAATAATATATAGTTAGTTGTATAATAAAACTATGAATAATGAAGAGAAGAATAGTTGGGGTGATCAGTCAAATAAGAAGGCAAAAATAAATGATACTATTTATTTTGACATTAGCCGACATTTCGACCTGAAGTTCAGGCCATCATCAGGGCTGATTAGGAGGAGGTCGTCTACGTATTTTCGAATAAAGATGATATCGTCTAGGTAAAGAAGGATAATGGAGTCTAGAAGATCATTGAGAACTATGTTGGAGATGTCGGGAGCGAGGGGGTTACCCATTGCTAGTCCGGAGATTTGGTTAAAAATTTTCCTTGAAAAGTGAGGTAGCCTGATTTACAACAAAGATGAAGGGATTCGAGATATGAGGAGGTGTGAGGGTTAAGTGAAGTGTGAGGTTTAATGATAGTCCAATTTTCGTCTATTATAGTAAATACCTTGTCTATGGGTATGTTAAAATGTTATTTATTAAAAAAAAACTATGAATAGAATGGTTGATTCACATATTAATTATAAATAGAAAATTAAAAAACTGCTAGAAGTGGAATTATTATTATAGTTTATCATTAATATATTTTATATGCTTAGGAAAGATTTTTTCTTACAGTTAATACAAGAGTTCTGACTAAATTTAAACTTATTTTTTAAATGTTTATATAAAGCTAATTTAGTCTTAGCTGATTAAGGCATACAATAGGTTGGTTGTCTTTCATTATATTTGTAGAATATCTGTTTCATAAATATATAAATATTTGTAGTTTCTCTTTGTTTAAAATACTTTAAACAACTTTCCGATCTTTTATTTAATTTAAATATTATCAATTATTTTAGGAATTGTAGCTGGTGGCAGTGGTGACTTGGCCGTCAGGATGCGCCCGTCACTTCTTTTCCATAAACAACATGCCGAGATTTTCCTTTCTTCCCTAAATGATGTTCTTAAAGAAATTAACGGTTAATTAATTAATTATGTATAAATTGAAATATTGCATTTCATAAAACTCCCAAAATTATACATTCCTTTTAAATTCAACTAAACATTTGAAAAGGAAAATGATCTCTGATTAACTCTAAGGAATAGAAATTCTGAAATAATTTAAAGAAACTTTCCAAGCTCTCTTATCATTTTTAAAGTCGAGAAATTGGCTATGAAATTTGTCTTTCGTTATCGACCTAAACTTTGTTTTTATAAGAAAAAAAAGGTATTAAGATTTTACATCTATATGCGATTATTTTTAAAATATTTATTTTTATTCAGCTAAATTGTTCAAATTCATCATGAAATTTGGAGTGAGTTTAACACTCCTTTCACACATTGTATTATTTTTCTTAATTTTTTTATTAAAAAAATTAAATGTATTATTAACTTTATTGTTTAGTCACTTGTTACTTGAACACACACCTCTTTCATATTTCTTCAGAATTATTTTTAAACTCAATTAAAAATAACTGTAATAGATATATGCATTTGATAATAATGCAGATTTATGGTTTGTTTATGTATATATTTTTTTATTCTTAATCTCATTGCTTAAGAAAACAACTAATACAATATGAAACCGGTAAGCACATCTCCAGTCTTCCAATTGTAACTTGAGTCTTCCAAATATTTTTATCAAAGAAAGTTATATTTAATGTTAAATATTGTATTAAAATGAGATTAGCTATAAATGTTGTCCATTAAAATGTCTAAAATAAAAATATATAAATTATGTTTGATACTATTATGTTTTTTCCTACTTCCTGATTTCTTCTTCACAGGGAATATTCAGAACAGAGCCATTTTTTATCCACCCAATCCCCTTTTTTGGTCTATTGGTGTTTTTATTAGTGACTATCCCATTTTCATTATGTACATATCTGTTAGTGGCCATTCATCCATCTATATAAAGTATGAACAACTAAGAAACAAATTCTTATGGTAGAATGGTGGGACACCTCATAATGTTTAGAATGGTCGTATTGCCTGGATTAAAAATTTGTATTTGAAGATATCTCAAACATTTTTTTAAAGGGGAAACAGAGTTGAGATTCGTATTTAGCACCACAGAGAACCTTCAAATACAAATTTTCATGGCAATAAAAAAATAAAACTTTTTTGCTTCGAATTTTCACCAAGGCTACTATGGATTTTTTTCAACTATTACAAAAAATTTGATAACCATATATTTTGACGAATGAGGTCTCAAATGAAAGGTTACTCAATGGAGACGTGAAAAACTATAGTCACATCCTCCCGAAAGTTCAGTGGAAGCAGTGGTGAAAGAAATAGAAAAATTTTTATTTGAAGATGTTTTTTAACATCTCAAACATTTTTTAAAAGGGGAAACAGAGATGAGATTCGTATTTAGCACCCCAAAGAACCCTCAAATATGAATTTTCATAGCAATCTAAAAATAAAACATTTTGTTTCGAATTTTCACGAAGGCGAAAATCCCAAAAATGTTGATGACGATGGATTTTGACAAATGAGGTATCAAATGATAAGGAATTTCACAGAGGCGTTTGACTTTTCTTCAGTAATATCGAAAAAATTTCAATAAAAACAAAATAGAGGAGTTGGTTGGGTGTGCGGTTAATATATAGTATTATATACTGACGGAACCTCCGACCAACTCCTCAACTTATAATCACAGAAACCATCTCCACACCATTAAAAAAATTATATCAACCAGTTTAGGGTTAATATAATTTTTGCAATGATGCCTATATTGAGGAAATTCGGTATTGATTTAATAAAGACTGTGTTAGGGGCCTTATGGATTAATCATGATCACCTATTTCATGCATGAAAAGAATAAATAAATCTGTGGCTTGATACTCCTTGAGAATGGACAGAATCAATGAAATTAGTTGATATATGCTAAAATGAACATCCATAGGTATTTCTTAAATGAATTAATTTTTGGTGCTTGATAATTATCTAGACAGATGAGTAGAAATCAATCCTAATTAAGATAAGGTAGTTCCGAATCTTTGGCAAAAATCAAAAACTATTAATGCTCCAGGTGAGAAATGAGGTCAAGTTCCGTAACTCATCAATAGAAATCATCAAGAGAAGAATAGTTGGAGTGATCAGTCAAATAAGAAGGCAAAAATAAATGATAATATTTATTTTGTCATTTGCCGACATTTCGACCTGAAGTTCAGGCCATTATCAGGGGTAAGAAAAGAACCAGATAACAAGGTATGAGAAACATAAAAATTAAAGTAAAATGCAATTGTTAGAATAATTACAAAAGTAAGAACAAGAGATAAATAATAATAAGTGGTACAAAGTGTGGAATGATGAAGTAAACATAATAAAAAAAGGTGACATTAAAATGGTAATCTTAGAATAAAATGTAAAACAGAAAAATATGAAGTTATATAAGAAATGCAAATAAATAGTAAAATTAAAATATTGTGAGTAGAATAGTTAAGATAGAAAATTGAGAAATCTAACTATTCTATTCACAATATCTTAATTTTACTATTTATTTCCATTTCTTATATAACTTCATATTTTTCGGTTTTACATTTTATTCTAAGATTACTATTTTTGATTTGTCACCTTTTTTGATTATGTTTACTTTGCATCATTCCACACTTTGTACCGGTTATTATTATTTATCTCTTATTTCTTACTATTGTCTTATTCTAACAACTGAATTTTACTTTAATTTTTATGTTTCTCATACCTTGTTATCTGGTTCTTTTCTTAGCCCTGATAATGGCCTGAACTTCAGGTCGAAACGTCGGCTAATGTCAAAATAAATATTATCATTTATTTTTGCCTTCTTATTTGACTGATCACCCCGACTATTCTTCTCTTCATTATTCACGACAGTCAACTACTTAACCATTATAAATAGAAATCATCCATGAAATTCAGCGCATTCCTTGATTTATCAATTGAATCACTGGTTCTATTGGCTTTTGGAATTGATGTAAGTAATTTTAGTGTTGTTATTTCTTAATTTACTTTACATATTTATATTCAGTTTACTTTTTATCTATATTTATTTTTCATGTGTTTTGTAACCATTCAAGAGCGTTAACCTTCAGCCGGACACAATAGATTAATGGATTCCAAGGATTGGATTAGCTCTGAGTTTAGGACCTTGTCCTGACTAGAGTAATACTGCAAAGATATACACTCGTTAGAACTTTAAATACTTTAATAAATACATTTAAAAGTAAAATTTTATTTCTACAATTAAAAACTTATAATAGAATTACATAAATATTAAACAGAAATAAGAAGTACAATAAATAATTTTGAGCAATGATATACATCATTTAGAGTTATGATAATAATGATACATAACAGCATAGTAACTCAAAATTATAAATACGTAGTGAACACATCACGAATAATATTTTCAATAATATATACATATAATGCCATAAGGAGATATTTACAAAATGATACAACATAAATATATTTCATACAATATGAGAATTACAATGTTAAAATTTATACAAACAAATTAAGCAACAATTTTTGTACAGTATAACATTAACTTTGTATAAGACGTAAGTATCCAATTACTGAACACAAAAAAAAAAAATCAATAAAGAATCTAAACACTATGAAAAATAAAACATAAACAAACAAAACCTACCATTTTTTAACCCAAGACCTAATTAAAACAGAAACAATACAATTGGTCTTAATTGTAAGTATTACTTTTCCATTTAAACCTTTTAAAACAATATCTTCACATAAGGGTTACGTATTTATAAAACTAAAATCAGCGGTGTCTAGATCTTCAAATGAGAAAGAATAAAATATTGTGTTCAAGATGCTGAAAGTATGAAGAAAAAAATTGTATTCTTATATAACAATTACTTCATAACTGGATTATTTTTTCAATATAATCTGCAAGGTATGCTCATTAATTTTTTAAATGATGGTTTTACTTAAAATAATGCCGATCATTTTGCTTGTAAAATTTATAGTATAATTATAGGTCATTTAAAAGTTAGAATTGGCATTTTAGTTTATAATAATAATAAATTGCGAACTAACATTAAATATTTTTCTATAGATCAAAAATCAATCATAAGGAGATGGTCTTGGTGGAAATGAGGCTGCGGTCATAAAAAAAAGACTTAAAATAGCGAAAAAACTATTTTATTATTTTTTACTATTATAAGTCTTTTAATGAAAGAAAGCACAGACCATCTCCTTTCTCAATATTATACAACAGTCAACCATCGAGTATTCAAAAATCAATCATGCTTTGCCATTTATAAAATTTATCTAACACTAAAATTTAGGGAAAATTTTTTGAAAATCTGTTAGCCTAAGTCGAATAGAATTAAATTAAACAATGAATTTATAAAAAAGAAAAAAATTACCTACTCAAATTTCATATAATACCTACAAATTGTTTAGTTCAAAATAGAAGTAATAAAAGTGTAACTAACTATTAATACAAATATTTAAATTTATTGGAGCGACTTTCTGAATAATGTATGCAACTAAAATTTTTGATTTTAAATCATGATAAAAATTTCAAGGGGACAGTTTGGAATAAATTTAATAAAATTATAACTAAAATATAAATTGAAAACTCAATATTTTATTTTCATTGTTATACACAAGAAATTCAAAATATTATAACCGTCTAAAAAGATGTACCTTTCATTCTAACTGAATTAATCATTAAGTAATGGTTAAAAGGAACTAAAATCTTATATTATCAAGAATTTCAACAGCTTTAAGAATGGCGCCCATTTGTCTGCTTCTACCCGACTTAAAAATGTAATATGACTAAATATGTAGGCATTCAAATCGAAAAGTATTGAACGGCCTACTGCACAGATTTGCTACCTATTCCGTCAAATTTTTTTTTTGTTGTTCCGAGGTAAGCTGGAACAGACAAGTGGGCGGACATGCTTAAACCATTTGTTTCTTTTTAAAATTATGGATTATTTTTTTAATGTTTGAACCTTCTAATTAACACCTTCATTGCGGCTGACTTTATAAGAAATTAAAAAGATTTCGTTGTATGGTCATTTTGGACCTGTCTTGACTACAATTTCAGCTGGTCGGATCATTGTTCATTCGTTTTCATACTTCATGTAGCTTTCAAATTTTATTCAATGCTATTGCAGTACTCTGAAGTCAAATTATTCTCGAAGAATATTCATAAAAAATCATTTTTTTTTTAAATGATTAACTAATTATATTCAAAGAAAAATATTTTAGCCATAAAATAGGAAGTAAAAAAAAATTTATAGTATATAAGTAGGAATCACGGGCGGATCTACGGGGGGGGGGAGGGGGGGGGCTTTCGGGCTGAAGCCCCCCCAAAATGGTAAAATACAACCATGTTTTATGGAAAAAAAAATTTAAAAATACCTCTTAAACTATTATTGTTCGTGTAATTACATTTAAAAGGACTTAAGGAATCACTTAAATACCATTTCATATAGGTAGTTAGTTTCTTTCTGTTTTTCCAAAGTAATTATCGTTATTTTTATGAAAAAAAAAAAGGTTTCGGGCTGAAGCCTCCCCCAAAATTAAATCCTGGATCCGCTAGTGGTAGGAATAACTTTGAACTACCTGTGATAACAATTAGTATCATTTCACATTTTATATTTGTTTGAATATATATAATTAATTAATAACCATGTATACTAGATATTAGGTAGACTGTCTATATGATTCTAAAAATATAAAAAAATAGCCTTTTAATTCAGTATCATTTTATTTTTTCGTTACACGGAGCATACACACCTATACCATATTCATCTATTTCTAATCTGTATCCATCAACTAGGATGTTATCGTTTTTTCAGATATTATTTTTTCTTTCTTTATTGTCATCCCGTTTTATTAGAAATATATTATTAGCTGAGATAGGACCTGGTAAGAACAGAAAAAGTCCTCTCTCCTCCAATAATATATTTTGAACAAAACAGTACCACAATCAATCGTTGACTAGAAAGAAAAAAAATAATTCCAAGTTGCTTGCAAATAGATGAATACGGTGCAATACTCCGATAGCTACATCTAAAAAAAAATAAAAATAAAATGAATTGAAAGGATATTTTTCTATATTTTAAGATAAATAATTATATCATATTGTTATAGAAAACCTGGAATATGATCAGACGCTCCATTTGTTTTATTTTTATTTTATAAATATTTAATGATTAAGAGTAAAATATGGTTACAGGTATTGTACATAAAATATATTTTAATATGGTAAACAATGAGCATTGTTGTAAGTCCCTTGATAATAGGTAAAAATTATGAAATAAAAATAAATTATTCAATATAATAAACAAGAAATAATGACAAAATTATATATTTACAATCAAATTCAGCAGAATATGAGCCAGGCTAATCTTGTATAGCAGGTTTTGTCAGGGCAGATACTTTTCTGTTATTATTAATTTATTTCAATAATTACTCAGAAAATGTTTATAACTTCTCTTAGTGGTAAAATCAAAAATATGCATTAAAAAATAAAAAATAAAATGAAGAAATGGCTACATGACTTCTTACTTCAGATGCCGCAGTGAAAGTGTTAATAGGAAAGTTTAATTTGATAATAAAAGCAATATGATTACATATTTTCTTATTCCATCTCATACCCAATAATTTTAATAATAAAATATTTACATAAATTAAAAGTACGACAGAGTGTAATATATTTTAATGAGAGAAAATACGATGTCGGTTTTAATCAAGAGGTATCAGTAACCAAATATTGTATGTAAAATTTATTTAATATTTTTTTTATAATAGTGTTTTTTAAAATTTTCACAATAAACAAATCATGCTTTGGTGCTGAAAAAAAAAAGAAGTCTTAAAATAAGTATATCAAATGTTTGTAACATTTGGAATTTTTTTAATAAATGACCTATATTAATTTTTATTAAGTTTGTTATCAGATTAAGTTTATTTGTTTTTAGCTATTCAAGACAGCAGCATTGATCACTAACAACATCTTAACAGTAAAATAATAGAAAGAATAAAACGGAAATTTATCTAAAAATTTTCAATGTCTAACAGGCAAATCTACAAAGATACACAACGGGGCTTTAAATGTACATTAACACACCATAAATGATTATATGTTTATTATAAATTCAATATTAATCATTATTTCTATCAGGATAAAAAATAACTTTTTTGGCGCCCGATTATAAAGAAAATTCATTTTTTTAAAAAGTTACATAAGAAATTTATTTCCATTTTTTTAATATTTTATCATTATATTCAAACAACTACCCTATTTGATAGGAACGCAGAATAAAAATTAAAACTACTGAGGTTTTAAAAATATCAACGGGTAAAACTCTATTCCATTTTCAATTAAATAAAACGGCAACATAATAATCATAGATAAGAAATCTTATCATTACTTTAAGTAATAACAAGTTGTGCTTGATTAAAAAAAAAAAACACGGATTAAAATAATAAATTAAGGTAGTTAACAAGCATCATTGCAAAGAGGTATAAAAAAAAGAAGAAAAATAAAAGAAATACATTTTTAAGTTTCTCTCTCACTTTTTATCTTTTTTTTTTTTCCCATTTACATTATATACTGTTGCGTTGAGGAAATTTTTTGTTAACAACTATATCTCCACATCAGCAATGAAGACAGTGACTAGATAATAAGTAGATCACAGAAAAACAGAAGGATTTGCATTTATCACCTCTCATGTTTCATAAGTTTAGAAACGACAAGACCGATTGCTGCGACAAAGGCGATACCAAGGCCAGCTTTCCATAATATAGAATCGCTGCTAAGAAGGCTCAGCTCTGTTAAGTGACTGTAATGAAGAAAAAAAAGAATAATTAAGATAAAAATTATTTTAAGAAGCTTACAATACAATAAAGGTAATCATAGCATGGTACAACCACATATAAAAGTGCTTATTTTTAATATAATAGACATTGATGATTTTTATTGGAATTAGGAGAAGAGTTTGCTGGATGCATGGAGTGAGCTGGTATGAGACAAATCTTAAGAGTCGGCTGGTGTTCAGGAGCCATTTTTATTTGCCGTCAAGTCCTCTACCTACTAAGATAGATTTTAAGTTGATTGGCTGCTTTTAAAAAAGCTTTTGAAGGATTAATTTTGAAGGATTAATGATAATAATTTTTATATTATATTAAATGTGAGTAATGGTCTATGTTACATTTTTGCTAAATAGGGGATTTAATAACATTCTATGTATATTTATGTAGCTTTCATTACTCATAATCAACTTAACTCATCAGTGTAATTTTCATTATTGTTTATAAAAAAAATGTAAAGTTTACATAGTTGTTTGCATAAATCTTAACTAGATTATGGCAATTTTTTACTTTCACTTACCTATATATGTAATATATATTAAGCGCAAGTATTATGATTGTGAAAATTTTCTAATCTGGGTTTTCAACGGAAATACACGTCTTGAGGTCCCCTGAGTCTAAATAACCAAGTGTCAGAAAATGAACTGTGTGTGTCTGTACAGCCTAGCTCAAAAATGAAAAGTCGTACAAAACTGAAATTGCGTATTTATGGGTTTTATATGCCTCGGATGTTACAGAAACATTTTCGTCAAAATCGGCTAACAGGAAATGTCACTTTATATCTTCGATTTAACACATTTCTTTAAACGATTTAACGATCTTGATTAAACTCAGTATATCAGTGTATTATTAAGTAGTTTTTAATATATTGAAGATTTTATTCTCATTGGTGTTCTCTAGCAAGGCTTAAATGGCCAATTTTCAATAACAGTTTCTCCTAAAGTTTTTTTTATTTGAAACAATCAACCATTTCACATTGATCTCCGATATATAAAAAAGTTTAATATAAAATATGAAAGAATTTGATAATTAACTAAAGGAGAAATAAGAGATTGTAACGGAGAATAGTTGTAATGGAGGAACCAAAGGAATACAAGTATGACTAGACTCACCCGAAACATTAGAACAGGCTTCCATACGTAACATGAGCTTAATATAATACGAACTCGGACAATATTATGTACATATACATATATGGTTTTCATAAATTCTATTGTTTGTATTATTTAATGTCTAATTGTATAATTTTTTTTTTCCTAGCCTGTTATTATAAGTATTTCACATCCACACAAGTCCCCTAATTAAGAGGATAATGGTCTAATATCCCACAGGGACCAGCTGTATTGGAAAGTAGGGCCGGGATTCGATCTTACGATCTTTACTTTACTAATACAGCGTGCTAACCACTCTGCTATGCAGGTCCCAATTATATAGATTACAGCGATATAAATATTAAAATTTGTTCATATAAGGGTACTTAAACAAAGAAAAAAATACCCATGAATGAATGAAATATAAGTAAAAATAGTATCTATAATTTTTACTTTCACTTCCCCTTTTTCTGAAAATACTTAATTCTGCTAAGAAGTGGGTGGAATGTGAAAGTTGTGTGATGCACGCACCGCACCAGATTTTTTACTATGGCATAATGTATCACAGTTTACCCAGGCTTATTACATGCCATAATCAGCTGATTGACAAGTTTACATTTCCTCGGATCAATCAATCAATCCATTCCAAATATTCTGAACCTAAGCCATGATAAGCTGTCACAACAAGTGATATCGATATGCTGTTGCATCATCATTTTGGCATATAATAGTTTGTACATATAATAATTCAGTTTGCAGTGACCAGTATAGATCTCTGCAATTGTGATTCAAAAAGCCCTCTCCACGATGAGTAGTTAAATACTCCTTCTTGGGCAAGAAACATCGAGGAAAAGCTCGGAATGTAGCTTATCCTTTTCCTGTCTACTTCACCGATACACTCCTGGCAAATTTATGGCTACCGATACTGAACTACTGCGGCCTATTTCATAATCAAGCTAATAGTATTAGTAACAAGTATAAATGTACACAACTACAAAGTACATGTACTAATACTTTTGATGTAGAGATGGTTGACCGTTGATATAATATGAGAAGGAGTTAATTGGGGGGTTGCGGTCAAATAAATACTAAATTAAAATATAGTAATTATTTAATTTTTTCCGATGTTTCGACCCAGTTTGCAGGTCGTCTTCAGGACTACAAAAGATACAAAACATGGTGAAAATAAAAAATAAATATAAATAGATATAAAATAAGAGGAAGTTGTCAGATACAGAAATAAAAAAATGATATCAGAGATATAGTGGGTATCAGAGATATCATCTTTTTATTTCTGTATCTGACAACTTCCTTTTATTTTATATCTATTTATATTTATTTTTTATTTTCACTATGTTTTGTATCTTTTGTAGCCTTGAAGACGACCTGCGAAGTGGGTCGAAACGTCGGCAAAAATTAAATAATTACTATATTTTAATTTAGTATTTATTTGACCGCAACCCCCCCAATTAACTCCTTCTCATACTAATACTTTTGTTGATAAGAAAAAGGTACAAGTCAGTAAGTGTTTAGGTTATTTTTAGAGAGGTTAATTTCGAAAAGATTAATTTAAAAACAGGCTCAATCTATTGAACAAGTTTGTGTTCTCTACTACCGTTTAAAACAAAGAAAATTCTATCTGGACTTTTAGTCACCAGCAGATATACTTACTAGTAAATGGTAATACTATCGTACTAGTAGTTTGCATTCGTGTCATGACAACATTCAGTATCATAAATATACAAAATTACAAGTTAAAAGTACAAGTTACACTGTTTCATAAAGATGGTTAATAGTACAAATCATATGATTTTACTAATATTTTCTTGGGCTGTGAGTACAAATCTAAGTTCACTTGTAATATAAAAATATTATAAATATTTTTACTGTGTAACATTAAGTGACCGTTTTTTTTACAACTGATAAGGGACATCTTAATGATTGTGCCAGTCAACAAACCATTATTCCTCGAAGAAAAACATTCAGAATTAGAAATAATTTTAGTTTGAATGCGGAATGAGAACATTTCTTTTTGTTCAAGAAACATAGAGGAAAAGCTTGGAATGTAGCTGATACTTGTCCTTCTGGCATTTCCTGTCTATTTTACCGATACACTCCTGCCAAAGTTATGGCTACACATACTGAACTGCTAGTATTATAAAAAAAGTTTGGATTTATTAAGAAGTTAAATGTGGCGTTGATTTTAAATGGTTTCTAACATTCTGGGAAGGAAAAAATTTACTTAAAAAAATAAAAAATTTTGATAAAAAAATTTATCACAAATCACAAATTGAACTGCAGATTGGATAACCATGATATGTAAGGGGATTGGACTTACCCTGTCCCTAGAAATAATAAAAAATTCTCTTTACTTTAAGACTTGCCCTCTAAAAAAAAATCATGTGTTTCATTCGAGAGAAATTATATCACTTAGCAAAACCTTTTTTTTTTCTTAAGAAAATGAATAATTGTAAGTTAATTTTTTACAATAAACTCAGAAATATATTACAAGAAAATCTGGTACACGCATCACACAACTTTCACTTACCACCCTCTTTTTAGCAGAAATAAGTATTTTTAGACAAAAGGGTAGTGAAAGTAAAAATTATAGATGTTATATTTATTAGCGTCTCATTGTGGATATTTTTATTTGTTTAATTACCCTTATATTTACAAATTTTAATTTGTATATTGCTGTAATAAATAAAATTAAATATTAAATAATACCAACGATAGCATTTATGAAAACCGCTTATGTATATGTACATAATATTGTCAGAGTCCTTATTAAATTATGCTCATGTTACTTACGGAAGCCTCTTTTAATCTTTCGGGTGAGCTCGTATTCCTTTGGTACCTCCAATACAACTATTATCCCTAACAATCTCTTATTTCTCCTTTAGACATGAGGCCTTCATCAGGGTGAAATGATCAGAATAGTATGTCTTACTAGAGTATTCCGTTAAGGTATAGGGAAGAAAGACGCATATTAGCTCAATATTGTACTTTATGTAGAACATAAAGTAAATTTTTCGTGTTATTTTAATTCTAAGCTGTTGATATTATGTTTATCAGTTATCGTTCTTGCCTGAAAATCAATTAATTTCAGACTGTTTCACTAAATTTCCCGATGGCATATTTTTTTTTTTTTAAATTAGTGTAATGCTAATAAATGTAAACTTGATGAATTCAATTAGTAACTTCTAACTGTAACAGAAACTAAATAAAAGTATAATTTAAAAAAAAAAAAAAAAAAATTATTTACAATATTGAAATCATTACAGCATATAAGCAATATTAGCAATGAAAAAATATTATACATACTGAAGTTGTTTTCTCGTATTTTATCAATCTGCTAAAATAGCAGCCACGCTATTTTTAACACTAACCTGATATAACTAACAATACTAATTTAATATATTATAATTATGTTTAAGCAAGTGGATGTAATTGTAGAACATTAAATATCCTGTAGCTAATTTAAATAGATTTACTTATTACAGATGGTAACTAGCATTTCATATAAATGAGTAAACGAGAAGGAAAATAGTTTCATAAAAATGCTAATAGTTTCAATAATAATGGAAATGAAATACTTTAAATTATTAAAAGAACTATATGATACATGCAGAAGAAATATTATACTATACAACTAATTCAGCAGAATTTTAAAACATCATTGAAAAAAAGTTCAGGTTGGTAAAACAAAAACAAAATACTGATAGTAACAAACTTTTATATACTTGTCGAAAGGTTGAAAGGCAATGAAAAAAAAAAAAAAAAAGCTGATAAAATAAATAGATCAAGGAATACGAGAACAAAATCTACAATAATGTGAAGTACAAACCTCGCATGGCGGTAGAAAAGAATCCAAGCAGCATGAAACCGACTGTCAAAACAGAATTGTTAGCTTTTTTTTTTCTTAAAAAAAAAAAAGCATCTTAATATAATTTAGAATTGCAAAATAGCATGCAAGTTTAATATTCAGAAAGAAAATGTCTTCAATGGAAACACTTCTAGTGAATAGGAGACGGAAGAACAACCTTAGACGATGTCAATTAAATTTTTTCAAAACAAAAAAACAGTTTTACTTTAAAGGAAGTTTATTATTATTTTTTTTTAAATTACACATTTTAATTTTTCCGAAGCTAAAAAAAAAAATATGGTTTCTAAAATATGTAGTACACCTCAGTAACTTTTTCAAAGCTTTAGGTGCATCTAGAAGTTAGTTTTGAGTTGTGATTTTTAAGTGAAAAAAAAATCCACCATGTAATTATAAGCAATAAAAATATAATGTGTGTTGAAGACTACCTGAGTGTTGATGGTCCGATAAAATCATTTTTGGTTTCCAATTTTATTAAATTTTTAAATGAAGGGTATCGAAACATAAATTGTTAAATCGAACAAATAAATATGTAGAAGGTGATGGGGAATAATGAAAAATACATAAGTAAAGAAAGAAATGGAACAAAACATATATGAGTTGTTTACTTCCAAAAGAGAACCCTAATCATTATTAACAATTTTTCAGGATGCGCGAAAAACTATATTATCTATTCCGATTATACAATTTGGAAAGTAATGTCGTTTCTGAACACGTTATTATTTGATTGTCTTGTGGCAGCTCATTGTGTACATCTATGTCGCGGCAAAGACATTCTAAGGTTATAGTGACTTCTTTGGTTCCAAATATTTAAATTAAAAATTTGTTTTAGCAATTTTGGTGAAATGGCCAGCCAAATACAGAAGGGGTACATATCCAGATCCAGCATTGCATGCTTTTTGAGTTTCGCAAGGGTAGTAAGCTAACAGTTGCTAACAAAAACATTTGCGATGTTTATCCAAATGCATTAGACGTTCATAAATGCCAAAGGTGGTTTTTCAAGATCGAATCAGGTTATTTTGATCTTTCCGACTAACAAAATAAATTCATTAAAAAAAAACAAAAAAAGCAACAAAATATATAGTGTAAGGTAAACCTTTAATGGAAGTGGGTAAAAAGGGTTTAATAAATTAATATTAAACAGTTAAAAGGCAAGCTAATGTAGTTCTACTAATTCAGGGAAAAGAAAATGGCTGCTCTGTAATTTTCCCAGAAAGGAAAATCCCAAAGAGGAGAGGGGAGGGACAAAGGATTTTGTTTTGGCGAGTAGTTGTTGTTTGGAATTACAAGAGAGAGGATCTCCCAGGAAGTTTGAGTTGAGTAGAAGAAAGTGTCGCCATTTTGGAAGTTTTGTATGGCAGAACATTGGAAGACAAATGAATTTAGTGCAACAAAGGAAGAAACAGTATCTATAGAAAAAAAAGATAGCTTGCCAATTCATACTTGACTTTATTTTAAAATCAGTGTTTAATTTTAGTATAAATAGTGTAAATAATAGTTTGTCTGAGTGTTTTGATCTGATTGTCACTAACCCATACCTTAAGATAAAATAATTATAAATTTCAATTTAATATATTAATATTCTTATAATTTTGTTTATTATTTATCAACCTCTTATTTCTTTTGGAAGTATTCCAACAGTATAAAGTGATCTTCCACAAGGTTATATTACTAGTTATAAAATATAAGAGAAATATTACAATAGATAATACCAAGCTACATTTACAAGGATAATTAATGGCAAAGGATAATTAAATACTTACGGAAATGCAGCCATTGTAGCAAGCTTGTGGTAGATTTCTTTGGTTCCAACATCTGTGCACGTGTGTCGATGCGGAGGGGCGAGATTATGAGCATCACAAAACGCAGACGGAGTAACAAGGTAGTCTTGTCTTATTTCAGGAATTAAATCGCTTTTGTTGCAAACGAAAAGGACTGGAATTTTGCCATCATCGAAGTATTTCTAGAAAACATTCCAACAATAGTTTCAGTTCATAGAAATAATAATATAATTTAACAATAAAGTATTATATATACTATAATGTTATATCATACATTAGACATTAGCTAGATATATATATATATATTTTTTTTTACAAAAAACAATACCTGGAAAACGGTGTAAAGAAAGATATGTGGAAACCTCAATGAATTTTTTGTAAATGACTGGATTTTACAACAGAGTATATAAAAATCTAAGTGAAAAAAGAATTGCCAAACATCCTATCGGGTTGAGGCAAAATAAATAAATATTTCTCAAAGACATATTAATTTCACTTACCTATATATGAAATATATAGTAAGGGACAGTATTGCTTTTATGAAAGTTTTCGAATCTGAGTTTTCAACGGAAATACATGTTTTGAGGTAGCTTGAATCCAAATAACCAAGTCCCACAAAATGGTGCGTATGTGTGTGTGTGTATCTGTGTGTATGGGGTAAGTCTAGCTCAAAAACTGCATGAAAGTTAAATTGTGTATTTGAGGTTTGTATATACCTCAGATGTTATAGCTACTTTTTTGTTAAAATCCGCTCACCGGAAGTGGCACTTTGTATCGACTGTTAAACACATTTTTACAATTTTCTCAAAAACAGCTCCCATGATTTTGATTAAACTTGGTGTATCATTGTATAATTAAGTGGTCTTTAATATCATTGAGGTCCTAGCCCCATTGATGTCACTTTATAGGGCTTAAATGTTCTACATGTCTTCCTCTAAAGTACCTTTAATTTGGTTTATCATAAATAATTAACTATCTCTCATTATTAAGAGTTACGAAAAAATGCTAAATATAACTTTTGAAAGAATTTGGTAATTGAAAAATGAAGAAAAAAGGGAAAATGTTTATTTAGGTCGAAAATGAATTTCTGGAAATACTAGTCAGAAGATATTTCACAGAAGGTATAATATATTGTTGGAAATCCGAGAATTTTATAAAAAACAACATATAATATAGAAAATCGGAGAAAGTGATGAAGAGTGAAGATAAATTATAAATAACAATTTGTGTAAACTAATATTATTTACCGGAAATCACATGATTTCTGGGAAAAACAAGCACAGCTCCCGAAAAGGGCAGAAAAAACAGTTAAGGCCAAAAATATTTATTTATGCATAACTCAAAAACTATGCATAGCTACAATTTGTGGTTGGTACAAATGCTAATTTGAAAAATTTCTAAATTCCCTAAAAAAAAAAAAAAAAATCATAGAAATGAGACCGATGATTGATTATTAATAAATATAGAACCTATTGGAGTTGGTACACATGTTTTGTTTTATACTTTTTCAATAATGAACTACCTGTGGACAATCGTCATTAAATTGTACATTGTAGTTATTCTAAGGGGACTTTAAGGGGTCCCAGAATAAAGTTTATTTTTCTTGTTCTTCTGCTTCTGGTAATCAACTGAGAAAACAAAAATTTTCATCCTCACCCAACTTATTTTATTTCCGTATCATATTATCATATGGTTACTGACCAAAATACTAAGAGAATTACTCTTACAGACCAAAAAATTTCATTTTTATAATTAGGCAAAAAAAATTGTTTTCAATACTTACTAGGTATATTCGTGCCACATATTCAAATGATTTAGGATTAACGGTATCATATACAAGACAAACGACATCACATTTTAGATCAGATGGTTCTAGAGGATCCATTACGTTCCCAACTTCAATATCTTTCATTATAAGATATTTTTCTTGACCATACACAGTTACCATATTGATGGTCTTCTGAGGTATGCCACTGGTGTCTTTTTTTATCCTCTGCAACATTTACAAACACATTTAGTACAAAAATTGTACTACAAAAATGTTATAACTAAAAAAAAATAAATAAATAAAAAGTTTGGGTACTCCTTGTCGAGGGGGCCGTTTTGAAACTTCACTTCTTATCTAACGTCACGTCACATAACCTCCCTCTTCTTATCTCGCCAAACTTTTGAGTTATTGCATTGTTTAGTTTTCAGTTATTCCCTTATTATGTTCACTTATTAAATTCTTTACTTTTGGTCCGTTTGTGTTTATTTTTCTGTTTATTTTCGTCATATTATGGATCTTCTTAGAACCTGGCAAAGTGGTTGAAGTAGACGAAAGTTTTTTCTATAAGCGAAAAAATCATGTGAGGAGAGTTTTACCTCAGCAGTGGATGTTTGCCGAGAAACAGATGAATGTTTTATCGTCAAAATAATTGACAGAAAGGCAACAACTTTATTACAAGCAATTAAAGAAAATATAGAAGAGGGAACGACCATTTATTCGGACTGTTGGAAAGGATAAAACACCCGACAACTGAACGAAGCAAACTATGACCATTTCCAAATGAATTTTGTCGATCCATCAACTGGGGTTCATACTCAACACATAGAACGATTATGGGGCTCAGCGAAGTGGAGAAATAAAGTACATAGAGGAATTGCCAGGCAACACCTCGATTCATATTTGTGCGAATTTTTGTGGCGGCGGGCTCACAGAGAAGAGGACCCGTTCTATGTATGTTCTTTTAAATGTGTTTTTTTATTATTTCATTTTGATGTTTTATATTTACATATCTTCTTAAAGTGTTTTTTTATTATTTCATTAATATATGTGTCCTCAAATAAAAGTATTTTTTTTGTTATTACATTTTTTTTTTGTATCTGTTTACACTTTCAATAATACAAATTTAATACAATAATACGAAGATGTGAAGTAGGAGAAGGCTTATCACTGTGTTATGGGAGTTATCAGTGCTCAGGTTATAAACATTGGCAGATAGCAGTCAGTAGAGGCCCCCTAGACAAGAAGTACCAAAGTTTGAATTGGAATATAATTATTGTTTATTTTAAGTGTTCTTAATTATTAAAACACTGATAATCCATGTTCCAATGAGTGTAGGAGAGAGGAATATAACCTCATTACAACCTTTATATTGTTATTTTTGATTTATAAAAAACCTGTACCACTACAATGCATGAAGAGTCTTGGGTGCAGTACTACGTGAGGAAGTACTGTTAAAAGGCCAACGGTTGTGCAGGGAGGTGACAGACCAATATCATGCTTAACCGCCAGGTTTTCCACCTTAATTATTTGTTTTTAATTAAGAGTACCCACTTTATAGAGGGTGGGTATGCACCAGGAGGGCATCCCGATCCCAAGGTCGATCCACGGCTAATGAAAAATTACTAGTTAACAGCCGGATTCGAACCTAGGACCTTGAACTCTGGAAGTCAGTGCCCTACCACTGAGCTACCCCACTCCCCAGAGAAAAATAAGATGTAACATAAATACAATATTTATTCAGTTTTGTAGAGGCATGAAAATTTTAATACAATGAAAAATTCCTTCAAAATAACATTCAATTGATATCTTGTCCTCCAAAGAAATTTGCACAAGTAGGAATTGATTATATTCCTTCTTGTTCCTCATTCCTTTTTATTACGATATTTCATTCTGGTCCAAAGGGATTCTATTTTCTAAGTGTTTGCGCCTGAAAGCGGATCAACAAAATTTTGTGTGATTAACTTAAGTGAGGTGTTTATATTCATAACTTAGGATTTTCTGTAATCCCGGAATAGGATTTTCATAAATCAGAAAATATCATTGTGCTCGGTTTTATAGATGCTTTTATACTTTCAGTTAAGGTAGCAGCAGTTCTGTCAGGAATAGCGTGTAGGAATGCCTCACCGGTTTCCCTTCAGATACCACCGAAGACCCACTACTGATGGAATACCCTTCCAACTTTTTATACCTTTCTTAAGAAACACTTATCATCAATAACCACCGGTTTAAGCAATATGTCACTGGCATAAACGTCTCATAGGTAATTTTTCCTAATATCTGACATTTCAAATTCTTTCTTGAAGATTGGATCTTGAAGATTTTGATGCTTACAGCAAGACCCGGATAGTTCCTCTGGAACTATCGGAGGAACTGTGTTTTTAAGCCCGAAAACGTACTATTTTCGAGATAACGCAAGGCATAGGGTTTCGCATCCACACAACCTTACATTAATTGTAGTACTGTCATTGAATACATGTCTCATTTTGTCGACTTGAGGTCTCTATGATCAAGAGAGAGGAGGAGTTTATATTATTTATCGATGGTTTTTTTGATCGGCAAGCCATATCATCGTTAATTTTTCACCAATTCTCAAGATTGAGCCACCAATTTCGAAGGCTTCCTTCTCCTTCAGGTGGGCAAAATAGTCCAATCACCTCAAAAATTCAGGTAAACAAGTTATGAAAGAAAACAAATTTTATTTGCGAATAACTGAAAAATTACACATTTTCCTCTTGGTTATACCCATGATTACATATAAGATTACTAAAATCCCTACAAAAGGAAAAAAAAATTGTCGAATTCGGACAACTTTTAGCAAAGATACAGCTATTAATAGATGAAGTAACATTTGATTTCTTAATCTTTTGATACGATGCATTATTTTATTTTATTATTAATTTGGCATTTGATAACTATATGCTGTGCGAATTTTTTGTACGGGCCTACTAGTTTAAAATAAATATAATTTGGTTCAGAAACTGTTTGTTTACTTTTCAAAGGTAATGTAACCTAACAATACATATGTTAGATAGAACTGGAAAAAGGAAGAACATAGCACACAATGAATCATTATCCTGACGATGGTATGTTTAAGCAAAAACGTAGCTTGAAAAAGGAAATATCATTAAACCAACTGTAATTCAAACTTTTTAATAGCTAGTTAAAATTAACCAAGAAACTGTTACAAAAGTTACCTCAAATGTATGATCGATCAATCTCCTGCAAACTGTCGATTTTCCAACTCCTTTGGTCCCGATAACATGGCATTGATAAACATTTCTAGTAGATTGCTTTTTTAGTAAATCCAATTTCTTTTCTCTTGTAACTAAAAAAAAAAATAAAACTAATGAAATAAAAAAACATAAATTTATATGTAACCACCTAAAATTATTTATTAAATTAGAAATATATGTAAATAAAATTGGATAAGAAAAAAAAAAATACATTAGCTTCAACCTAATACGATATCAATAATTATTAGTAAGCCATTTAATATTGGGCGAGTTATAGAGTAGTATATAGAATAATATGAAAAAATACAAAATAATTACGATAAAACAATTTATAACAACAAACCTTGTATAGCAGAGAGTTGATTTTCACATTCATTGATTGGATATCCAAAATAAGCAAGGTATTCAAAGGTTTTTTGCAAATCACTTACAGTTGTCAGGGTCCAAAAGCATAAAAATCCTTGTTGGGTAATCCATTCCTAAGAAATAATCAGTAAATTAAAATAAATCAGTAACATAATATGTGTATATAACTATAAATAACTAAATAAAATATAAAGTAGAAACAATCCTTTAATTAAACAAGGTATAATTTAAAAGAGAGAAGAAGAAAAAACAATTTTTCCCTTACTTTGGCATTTGTCGGCACTATATTTTGTATATTTGTGCCCCAGACGCGAGGACAAATTTTGAACATTTCAGCGAGTTCTACTTCACTTAATGCGCCATCTTTATCTTTGTCATATTTATTGAATAATCTTTTGAAAAACTCCGCCCCACGATGGCTAAGTTCTGTTGAACTCCCTCTAGGAACCTTTACCCTAAAAAATTAAAATAAAACTATTCACTAAAATAATTTTTAAAAAATATATTAATTCCATTAGTATAAATATATTGATAAAACAAAATACCCCATATGGCAAAAATGCCAGGAAGGGGGATAAAAAAAAAAAAGATAAAACATAAACACAAAGTTATCTATATAAATAAAACAAAGGTTTTGTATGTACAATGAATAGAAACAACATGTTTCATGTGATATCTTTCCATTTCATACATTACAGACATCAAATCCACTTTTAAAAAATTGTTTGTCTGTCTGTGTGTCTGCATTGTCCAACGAAATTTTGTCAGAGGTAAGCTCAGCAATGGCTTATTGTAGACTTTTGAAATTTTGACATTATATTTAGGTTTGCTTAACTTAAAACATAGACTTTAAATGAAAACAAATATTGAGTAGAACCTAAGTTATGAATTCGTAAATAATTCGTCTAGAGATCCTGGTTAGGCAGTTAATTACTTTGATTCCCACCCCAGCCTACTCAACTGTGAGCCACATTTCTAAGTTGTACTATTCAACTGATCAATAATAACAAAACTAATTTATTTATTTTTTCTTTCTTAACCCCAATAATATAATACTTTGTACAATTTATTTTATAACTAGCTGATGTATCCGTCGTTTACGGGTGTATAGTTAAAATTTGAGAATCTTTTTTTAAGATAGATTTTGTATTATGGGGGGAGATAATTATACACCATCGGGTAAATCAGCTAGTTGTAAAATAAATTGTTCAAAGTATTATATTATTGGGTACATCAGCCCAACAACAAACCTTCCCCCACCCAATTTTATGAAATTAAATTTGGATTCCCCTTTCTCCCATAATACAAAATCCATCTCAAAAAAAGATTCTCAAATTTTAACAATACACCCTTTAACGACGGGTACATCAGCTAGTACTAAAATAAAAATAAGAACTTTAATCACTTAAAGGCTAGTAAACACTAGTAGGCAATGTTGTACGATATGTCTATAGACGGTCTCGAGACACGGTCAATAGACCGTCTAGAGACAACATTTTATTTTGTGAATCGTTTAGCACCCACACTACATTGTGAATTTCTCGGTCTAATCTATACAGCCCACCACGGAGGACATTGTTTAGTGTGGAATGAGTTCCTGCTTATTGTTAATTACTTTTTTTTTTTTTATTTCTTAATGACATTTACAACTGTATTACATAAATACATCTAGTAAATTTGGACATAATAGATATAATGACATGAATACACTTGCTGAGTAACTACCCAATGGTAGCACTCTAATGATATGACTACATTAGGAGATCACGGGGCCATCTTCTTTCAGACGCCTCGGAGGGTTATCAGGAATTGAAGAGGAAGCAAGATTAGAAACGAGAGGGTTGGGATGATTCAAAAGTTTGTTATGGAAGGATAGGTATCTGGATTGGGCCAGATCTGAAACATAAGGAACATTAAGATCTTTATGGATAATTTTATTAGTGACAAAGTAAGGAGCATTGAGGATTTTACGAAGGATTTTGGATTGTAAGGATTGGATGCGAGAGGAATTTGATGGTTTAGTGGAGCCCCATAGCTCAACTCCGTAAGTCCAAATAGGTCTTATTATAGTCAAGTATATGAGTCTTTTGTAATTAATGGGAAGTTTAGAGCGTTTATCTAGTAAGTGCTGAAGTAATAGGAAACATCGAGCGGTTTCTTGTCATTTCAGTCTAGTATGAGGATTCTAAGTTAGTCGCTTGTCCAGGTGGAGTCCTAGGTATCGGATTTGCTCAACAGGGATAAGTGGAGTATTGTTAAAGGAAACTGTAGGACAGGCAGTCGTTGGTTTACGACATTGTTAATTACAAGTGAAAGAATATGAAAATGTGAACTTTGGTGGATGCACGAAGTGCTCGCAAAAGGACCTAAGTTTGGTAGTCCAAAATTAAATAATCGTAAATAGGCGTAATAATTAAAAATACTACTTTTAAAATTTATTATTTATTTCACCGCACCCCTGAGCAACTCCTCAAAATATGTTAATCTAATATAGGAAAAGTATATAAAATTAATAACATTCATTATACTTGGTGTTTACTCATTTTCTATAGAAATATATTTGTCAGTTTTAGAAATAACAAAAATGTCTATTACTATACATTTTTTTTTTTGTATTGATACCATTTACATTTTATTTTTAAATATAAGAAACTACAATTCACATTGCGAAAAACACTGTACCCGCCACTAGAGACATAACCTATTAATGCATCCACGAGTTAAAAAAGGTTGGAAATCCCTGCATTAAAGTATAAATCAATTTGAAGTCCATTATACTTACTGAGGAAAACGATAATCTTTGGATAAATCTAAATGATCATTATATCCAAATTTTCTCAGAACAGTCCAAGTAGTGTGGCTTCTTCCTCTTTGGACAAACAGGCAATGAAGATAGAGGAAACCTTAAAATAATAAAAACAATATTATTAGGTATACGAAGAAGTATTATACAAGTATATATAATTTAATTAATTAGATAGAATATTATTTATGGCAAAAAGGATCTCTACAGTGCTAAAAAAAATTATTAAAATAAATAATGAGAGCAGAAAGTAGAATAAAAAAGTGTAAGTAGGTTTTTATCAGTTGATATTAAACAAAGCTTTTATCCTTTAAAATAGCAGTAAATAATAAATCCTGAAAAGATTAATTACATAGAGATGGTCCACAATATATAATAGTCTGTGATACAGACTCCCTTTTATTAAATTATTAACATCCGACTGAAACTCCGTAAATAGCTTCACTTCATTGTAACCTATAAATATATTGTTTACGAAAATTCTCGGAATTGGCCTTTTATAATCTGGAGATCGGCAAATTTTGTCTATTTAATTAAGTACTAAAAACTCATAAATACCCAGTCGCTTTCCACTTTAATTGTAAGATAACTTGAGCGCAAAGTCAAGGAAAAAGGTGGCCTTCAAAAATATTAGGCCGTTTGGCCTATACAACCTCGTTTTGACAATTTGGGGGTGTAGATGACGCCAAATGGCTCAATATTTTTAAAGGCCACCTTTTTTCTCTCAACTTATTGCTCAAGTTATCTTATGATTAAAGTGGAAAGCAAATGGGTATTTACGAGTTTTTAGTACCTAATTAAATAGACAAAGTTTGCCGACCTCCAGGTTGAAAGCGCGCTATTCCGAAAATTTTAGTAAATAAAATATTTGTAGGTTACGATGAGATGAAACTATTTACGAAGTTTCAGCTGAATGTTAATACTTTGATAAAAAGGGGTCTGTACCACAGACTAATATAAAATGTACTAGTGTTAAAGTGTTTACTATTGTTGTTCAGATATGATTGCAATAGCAATTGATATTAACATTCAAATATGACCTATTTGTATTCTGTCAAACCAGACTAACGGACCAATGTTTTGTATCATGCTCTTATTATTCTTAGGGGACTTTAGTCCCAGAATAAAATTATTTTTCATTTCATTTCATATAATGAATAAAATAAAAACTGGATGATTAGTGGAGGTCTAGATGTAGCTTTCGGAATGTGGCCCGTGTGCCAAAAATATTTAGAGACTCCTGGTTTGGACGGTTGAAAATAAATTCTATTTTTGTTGTTTTCGACCCTGATGATACCAGAATTGGGAAATCTTTAACTGAGGTTTATTTTGAAATTAACGAATAACTTTTAAAAAAATATATGTAAGTATTTATAATGAAGAGAAGAATAGTTGGGGTGGTCAGTCAATAAGGAAGGCAAAAATAAATGATAATATTTATTTTTTACATATGCCGACGTTTCGACCTGAAGTTCAGGCCTTCATCAGGGCTAAGAAAATAACCAGATAACAAGGTATGAGAAACATAAGTAGTGATGGTAAAAAAGATAATAAAAAATAAAAATAAATTAGAAAAATATAAAGTAAAATGAAATTGTTAGAATAATGACTAAGAACTAAGAGATAAATAATAAAAACCGTTACAAAGTGTGGAATGATGAAGTAGGCATAATCAAAAAGGGTGACATAAGTGTTACAATGGGAATCTTAGAATAAAATGTAAAACATGTCACCCTTTTTGATTATGCCTACTTCATCATTCCACACTTTGTAACGGTTTTTATTATTTATCTCTTAGTTCTTAGTCATTATTCTAACAATTTCATTTTACTTTATATTTATCTATTTTATTTTTCTAATTTTTTTATTTTTTATTATCTTTTTTATCATCACTACTTATGTTTCTCATACCTTGTTATCTGGTTATTTTCTTAGCCCTGATGAAGGCCTGAACTTCAGGTCGAAACGTCGGCATATGTAAAAAATAAATATTATCATTTATTTTTGCCTTCCTTTTTGACTGACCACCCCAACTATTCTTCTCTTCATTATCCATGACAGTCAACCAATTACCAATTATGTAAGTATTTATAATTCATTACCTTTCAATGTTATACAATTATTATGAGAAACACCACCGGTGATATGCCTTCTAATAATTTCTTTTACTTCTTCCATAGCTTTCTTTCTCAAAGGCAGATCGAAACATCTCTTCTGAAATTCATTTAGTTCTTCATCGTTCAGAAAACCATCATTATCTAAATCACAAACCTGAATAGCAAAAAAGTAAATAAATAAAAGATTGATTTAAAAAATACATAGGCTGGAAATAGATTTCAAATATGACTGATTCTCTCCGAATAGGACATAATAATTTTATTAATTACAACACAAGATAACTTACCCTGAATATACGAGTCAATGCTATCTTGCACCCTTCTGTTAGCTAAAACAAATTCAAATAAATTAAACATGGTCCAATATAAAATTCCATTTTGAAATGTTAATTTATATTCATATACAGGGTGTTTCAGTTCAGGGCTAAGTGACCGAACTTCAAAAATGAACTTCTTCTTCATGTGCGCTACAACTCATCACTGAGTCTTGGCCTCCTCAATTAGTTTCACCCACTGTTCTTGCAGCTCTCCTCCAGTTAGCTAGTCCAAGAAGAGCTCTACCATCTGTGTCGACCCCATCCATCCAGCGCAATCTAGGTCTTCCAACTCTTCTTTTTCTTTCTGGGCGCATCAGCATAATTTTCCTGGTTAGGCTATTATCATTCATTCTGGCTACATGACCCGCCCATTTCAAACACTGTATTTTAATGAACCGGACTACATCTGTATCACTATGTATGATGGTCAGTTCTGCATTACTCCACCTTCCATATCTGTAATTTTCTTTCAAAGACCAATAACTTGTTTTCATCTGTTTTGAAGAAGCTCTACGTTTCCACTCCATATATGAGGACAGGACGAATCAGTGTCTTGTACAGTCGCTTTTGTTTCCCTTGAGATTAAGCGATTCCTTAGATACCACTGCAGGCCAAAATAACATTCATTTGCCGCCAGGATCCTCTTACTTATTTTCTCTGAGACATCGTTGTCGATATTTACTTGGGAGCCCAGATAAACAAATCGTTGGACCATTTCGATTGTGTAATCACCAATCGAGATTTGTGGATGTGGTGCAAAAATGAACTAAAGACCTCAAAACAAGAAAAAAATTTACTCTGAAGGTATGTCCGCAAAAACACTTTGTTTAGGAGATATTAACATCTAAAGATTTTCGTTCTTAAGAATTATTTATGTTATATGAAATAAATAAAACCTATTTATTTGTTCCAACTACTTTATTAATTAAATGTAAACATTAACATTCATATTAAATATTGTTCAAAGTGATTTCCTTGAGCATTAAGACAGGCTCTTTCAACATCTTTCTTCAACAGCAGTAGTAATGGCAGAACAGCACTATTAGTGTAAATGGAAGGCACAATGATGAATACTCTGCGAAAGCCTCTTACAAACTGATAAATGTTATTGAGAGTTCCCAATGCTAATTCCAAATAGTATTAATCCTTACGTTGTCAATAGTTCTTATACAGTTAGGGATAAAAGGAAATATTAGTATTCTATCTAATCCATATCCTAAACAAAGGGTTTGCGGACATACCTTCACTTTGAACAACTTTAATATGAATGTTAATGTTTACATTTAATTAATAAAGTAGTTAGAACAAATAAATAGATTTTATTTATTTCATATAATGTAAATAATTCATAACAATGAAAATATTTAGGTGTGAATATCTCCTAAACAAAGTGTTTGCAGACATACCTTCAGAGGAAATTTCTTTCTTGTTTGAGGTCCTTAGTTCATTTCTGCAGTTTGGCCACTTAACCCTGAAACACCCTGTATAATTTCTATGATTTTATACATTTAGTAATTTCAAAATAATAGGAACAGTAGAATTATACTGGGTTTATTTTATTATAAAACTGTTAAATATATTGTTATTATACTACTTACAATTTTTTTTTTTTACATAATGAAAATTTATAAGAATTATAAACATAACACTGAGAACGAGTGGCTAAATTAAAGCGGGTTCACACTGAATAGTAAACAGGGCGAGAAGACAACCAGTAATGTGCTTGTAACTCAACTTGCTTTCTTCCAACAGGAATTTACAACCTTCTCCGGAAAGTGTCTTTTTGGTGGTGCTTCTGTCCATCTTGTTCCCATGTGGCAGAATATGAAGCCTCAATTTTTTGTGAATTATTAGTACATGAGTTGAGAAATCATTTGAAAAGCATTAAAAACAAGATGAAGAGATAAATGTGGACTCAAGACTCCGTAAAGAGGTGGAATTCACTTAGCACAATTAATAGTATTTGCAGAGAGTTATTGTTGGAAGATCACAAAAGCTACCGGAACCTCTTTAAGATGGAACCAAATCTGTTTTGGTTTTTCCTCAATAAAGTGAAACCAACCATTTGAAAACTAGAAACCAGTATGAAAAGACCAACTCCAGAAAAATCAAAACTTTAATATTCTTAGATACTGGTGATTTATTTGCTAGTCTACAATATTTAGAAAAGAAACTAAACTTTATTCTGGGACAAGGTCCCTTAAGAATAACATTTATTAAGAAAAAACAAAACCATATCTGGCCAAAAACTAGATTAATAAAAATTAAAGAATATATACTACATCTTTAGTTTAAATATATAAACAACAGAAAGTAAAAACATTTTGAAAAAAAAAAACATTAATGAAATGAAAAGAAAAACAGAAATCAGGAAAAATAAAAAACAAAATGTTATAAACACTACGAGTTGATTTTTTAAATAAAAACTTAAAACAATTTCAACAGCCATTCACTTCAATAAAAATTTATTTGATTCTGCGGCCCTTGATTGGGATGCGAGAAAGAATTGGTAGAGATGGTATGTGAATGAGAACATGGAAGAGGTCTGGCGGATATCAGATGGCAAGGAATTCCAGAATGTAGTGGATATGTGGATGGATGGGCAATAAAGAAATATTCAAATATTTTAGTTCTATGGGAAGGAATATAAAGGTTGGAAACACAGGATCTTGTTTTCTGGTAGTGGACTACGGGTTTGAACTGTAGATGTAGGAAGGAGTTGATTTATTTAAGATCCAAGAAAATATTGACAGCGGAAAGCAGGGAACAGCCACATTAACATTTATTTATTATTTATTCATGATACCCAAAAATAGGCGAAATTGTTTGATAGTTTGATTCGAGGGATATGGTGGGGACGATTTGTTAGAATTTTATGTATTTTCCAAACATTTTTACAACCAGCGGATAGTTCTCCTCTAAGAGTTTCCTGCCACTTTAAGTTCCTCCAACTGTTTAAACGAGTTTTTATGAAGAAATTAATTTGTTAAAGAGGCATTTATACTTTATGTTTCTGGTGAGCTGATATTTTTTCCAGAATTTATTTTTTATAAAAATATAAAACTGTAGTTGGGGAGGTATGTTGTCGGGTTTGTATTGACAGGATACCTGTGGAATTGATTTTATCATGCCAGTTTTGACAGTCTCCATAAATTTATCGATGTTCAAATCTATATCGGTGTTATTTATTATAAAAGGGTTAATATCTAGATTTCTATCTATGATTTTCCGGAATTTTTCCCAATCAGCCAATTTGAAATTGAATTTTGGGGTCGTGCTGGTTTTTATGGTTTTATTTTCTAATCGAAAGATCACCGGGTTATGGTCCGAACTGAGACATGGAACCGAGATAAGGCGAGAAACATCAGAAATATTTTTGGTGAGGGCTAAATCAATAATGCTAGATTTGAATTTTTTCTGAATTGGTATGTAAGTTGGCTCGTTTGGAGCATGCAATTCTATATTTTTCCGTGATATAAAATTTAATAATAATATTCCACTTTTATTCGTGTTATGGCAGTTCCATTGTGAATTTTTAGCATTTAAGTCTCCGAAAATGAGTGTGGGTTTATCGATATTAAACATAACTCTAAGATCATATATATTTATTTTATTTGGTGGGATATAAACTGCAACTGTGCTAATAATTTTGTTTTTGACCTTAAATTGATTTGCAGTCGCTTCCGCGTATTTTAAATTATCAATCGGCCTGTAAAGATGCGGTAGATCTGAATGTACCAGTATCATAACCCTCCCCACCTGCTCTGTTCCTGTCCTTTCGGTAAACAGTGTAGCCCGGGGCCGAGAATCTGTGGTTTTGACATCAATATCATTTGATAGTGGTGATATTAGTATTTTTTTTATTAAATATTATATTTATATCGATTTCAAAGACAATAAGGAATATCGGAACTAGCACAACATCGTAACAACCCTATCTATGACTGGCCTTTGGTCGGAATACGACTGAAGCGGTCATGCTAACCAACCAGATGGAGGTGTCACAGCTCTTCTCTTTAAGGGCCGTGCATTACCACCACTCCCACTACCGTTAGTTCACACGTGGTAGCGATTACAACTGATTGGCCAGTAGGTAGTGCTCTCGCCCGATTCATGACCCCATGTGAATCCGCCTTTATGGCAGATCTGAATGCCAAAAGTATAGTGTTAGTATTAAAAAAAAAATTCTAAAATTGTAATTAGCTTCTAGATTAAAGAAATTTAAGACTTTTTTTTATTTGGGAGAATCTTACAATTATATCTTTTTTTTTATTTTTATTATTTTAATGGAATTTACAACTGTATTACATAGAAAATACAATAAGTAAATGTGAAATTGGTAACATGACATGTACATGAAGAGAAACTACCCATTGGTAGAACTCAAATTAAAGTTCTATATTAGAAGATCCCGAGGCCATCTTCTTTTCAGATGCCTCGGAGGGTTATCAGGGATCGAGGAGGAAGCAAGGTTTGAAACGAGAGGATTCGGATGGTTCTGCAGTTTGTTATGGAAGGATAGGTATCTGGATTGGGCCAAATCGGAAACATATGGAACATTAAGGTCTTTATGGATAATTTTATTTGTGACAAAGTAAGGAGCGTTGAGGACTTTACGAAGGATTTTGAATTGTAAGGATTGGATACGAGAGGAATTCGATGGTTTAGCAGAGCCCCAAAGCTCGATCCAGTAAGCCCAAACAGGCCTTATTATAGTCATGTATATGAGTCTTTTGTAAATAGTTGGAAGTTTAGAGCGTTTGTCTAGTAAATGCTGCAGTAGTCCAAAACGTCGGGCGGTTTCTAGTCGTTTCAGTCTGGTATGGGGGTTCCAAGTGAGTCGTTTGTGAAGGTAGAGTCCTAAGTATCGGATTTGTTCGACAGGAATAAGAGGGCTATTGTTGAAGGATACTGTAGGACAGGAAGTCATAGGTTTACAACGAAGAGTGAAGGTAATTTGATGGGATTTATTGGAATTTATTTTAATCCTCCAGTTTTGACACAATTTTTCAAGGCTTGTGATGTGTGATTGAAGAGTTTGGGATACAATAGATGGATCGTTATTAACTGATAGGATACACGTGTCATCGGCATAGGTGGTGATGACAGTGTTGGACAATTATATCTAAAAATAAAAAAAAATCCTAAAATTACTCTTAACTATATTAACACAGATAACTTTAAATACTTACATCTTGTTTATCAGCAATATAAATAGGGGCGATGGGATGTAAAACAGCTTTTTGTGCATAGTAGAACATTTCGCTGATGTTCTTCAATGATTTTGCTGAACACTATCAAAACGAAGGAGAAATCGTATAATCAATACATATTGTAACATAATGGATTTGAATAGGTCATTCTTCTAAAATGGTAGAATTTCTGTCCGCAATATTTTTTTGAAAGACTAGTTAATAGGCGTAATAACAAATCATAATAATCTGTACCATTACAACTCAGGAAAGGTCCTAGGTTCAGTACTTTGTAAGCAAGTACTGTTTCTTGGTCGATGGTTTTGTTAGAAAGTGATTTGACAAAGATCAAACTTAGTTTTTCGATCAAATCGATTATTTAATCAAGGGTATCTACTTTATAGAGGCTGGGTAGGCTACAAGACGGCCACCCAACACCAGGGTCAATCCATGGCTGATGTAAAAGAATTAATAAATACCAGCCAGAGCTAGACTTGAACTCGGGACACAGAGCATAGGAGCATAGTACCCTACCCTCCCCACTGAGCTATCCTCCTTCTCATTCAAGAAAACAAATATCAAATCTTTTTATACTTCTTTCTAGGTTGCTGGTTCATGTTCACATCCTACAGCCATATATCAAAACTGACTTTTATCGTAGCATTGACATTTTTCAATTACTTAACTTAGAATAAGAATCTCTTTCACCTGTAAAAGAGATAAGAAACCTCGGTTCGCACTTCTTGTACGCTGGTCTATTTCGGACTGTTGGTCATTCATCGAGGTTATTGTGGAGCCGAGGTCTTAAAATTTGTCAGGAATGATTACTATCATATACCTTTATTTGATTTTAAGCCTAATTGCTCTACTTTTCTTTGTGAGTCTCTCAATGCCCAATTGATAGCTTCTAAAGACAGTTATATCACCTGCATATCCAAGGATTATTCATTCCGATATGTACCGCTCCATTTTAATGTAATTTTCTTATAACGTTCTTCAGCACCAAATCGAACATCGGCAAGCTATCTATCTCCCTGCCGCAAGCCAGTTCGAATTTTGAAGGATTCAGATATATCATCCGTACTCAACATTTAGGATCATTTGTACATATCAATCTCATTCGATTATCTTCAAATTTCATTATTTCCAATTTTTTACATCCATAGTTACATTAGTAATTCTACATATTTTTTTTACTCCTAAAATCGTTTCCCCTTCATCGTATTTTAATTTAATTCAATGAGGTATTAACAACAATACATTTATATCCAATTGTTTTCCACTTGAAAAGTAAGAGAATTTTACTACAAAATTGAGAAAAAAGATGGCCTACAAATATATAGGGTCACTTGGCCTGTATAACCTCCTTATTTTGAAATGCTGTGAGAGGATATCATGCCAAACAGCCCAATATTTTTGTAGGCCACTTTTATTCTAGATTTTGAGATCAAATTATATCATGATTCAAGTGGAAAGTAAGTGGGTGTTTTTAGAGAGTTTTTAATATCTCATTAAACTGATAAAGTTTACCAAGCTCCAGATTTAAAACACCTCATTCAAAGAGTTTTCGTAAATAAAAAATATGTAAATTACGATAAAATGAAGGCTTTTGTAAAGTTTTTGACCAGTATAAATAATTTCATAAAAAAAAGGATCCGTACTGGATACTACAATATCTCTGGTGACTTTTAGTATTCAAAATGGCAGACGGTCTTTAGAGATAGAAACTAAGAGACTGAAACTTAATTATAAACGTATGTTACTAATATCATAGCTAAATGGGTACCATTGTACAAATGTCTCTCCAATATCCAATAGTGAGCCTAGATTTGATGATGATGATGATCACATTATAAATGGGATTCGGAGAAGAGGTAAAGATGCTGTTTTTGACTCCCACTCACTACACTCGTTCTGAAAGGGTATTCAAACCCCCCCAACAGATGTTTTCAGTTAAGGCTGGGCCCTTATCAGATGATTCGGTCACTTCCATTTACTAGACTACTCTCAGGTGCCAGTGAGGGTGTGATCATGGGATCTTGAGCTACCTATCAAAATGTAGTCACACTTGCACGAAAGCACCTCAAACTGCAAAAATTAAAAATGAGATCGCTATAAAAATCTACTTCTCATAAACTTCTTGACTACATTGCTTAAACAATAAAAATAAAAAAAAAGAAGAAAAGCAGATTCCACAATAATTTAAAAGAACATTATCCTAACTGGAAAAGACTATCTGAGAATCCCGCGCCACTTGAAAATTAAAAAAAAAATTATTTATTTAGATATTAATTTGTACAAATGACTCCTCCATGAATGTTCTGAAACATGCCCAATAGCCATTAAATAAGATATAAGTACTAAAAATGCCAAAAAAAAAAAATTACATAAAGTCTAATAGAAATCCTACCATTTTTGGGAGAAGACCCTTAATACAGATTTGACTGATTTTTTTTTACTTACTTCAACAAAACTCTCAATTTCCGGATATTCTTCCATGATTTCTTGGGCAGCCTGTAATTTGTATATATATATATTTTTTAAATTACTTATAATTTTAAATTAGAATAAAAAGATAAAATTGTCAAAATAGAAACATTAAGATGGAACATTAGATGCATTCCAGGCCATATGAACACACACACATATGTTAGTTGATTTTTTTTTTTCAAATTCAATAGTATAAATTTGACATTATTATTTTATGAATAGTAAATAATCAATAATAAGTTTATATCTTGATGCTTCTTTTGATCAGATCAAAATCAATAATAATCATTAAAATAAATTTATCGAATTTCAATCTATTAAAACATAAACATATCTGCATATATTTATAAATTAATAGGGATTTAATATTTTATTAGATTCTTAAAAAATGCTTTGACAAAATCTAACTAAATATGTTCTCGTAAAATTCAAAAACAGGATTATACTACTGTTGCTTGTTCTTAAAAATATATATTTTATTAAACCATTAATTAGTTTTTAAAATTTCAAATAGTGCTCTAACCGCACTAACACTATTATTTGACTTGAGAGACAAACTTCTTTTTTTAATATTGGTGAGGGAGTACGACTATACAAATTTATGAATAAGACATTTTATAGGTATTAATATTATATATTAAATATAAATAGATAAATAAACCTTTTGCATGAAGATTTTTTGGGTGGCTATACGTCCAGTATTGTATGATTGCAATATTTACCGAAATTGTAACACTTAATTTTTCATTCTCCTGCTTCTATAATTATTTTCCAAGCAATGGCGTAATTTTATTCTATTCCTCCCTCCCCCCTTTCTACGGAGGGGCTGTTATGTTATTAATTATTTCAATTTTTTACATTTTAATTATATCTTTCTGATATATTTTATGATAGCATTGTTTATTATCTATAAAACATGCTATCATATGTTCATTTATTCGAATAGAACTTTATTTATTCATTTGTTTTTTCTTTTCTTTTTTCTTTTTCTTAAAATTTTGACTGTTCTTTTACACAGATACATTCCGATCTCTATATACCGAAAATAAAAATTTCTTTAAAAAAATTCAACATAGAAATTTTAATAAATAGAAAGATTGCAAAATTTTTTCATCCTCACCATACTAAAAACAATTATAATTATTTTCAATGTAAATTTATATAGAAAGAATTAATGAAAGACCTTTGTATTACTTCTCAATTCGTTTGTTTGTTTGTTAAAAATTTCGAGTCGGCCAACTATTATCGAAAGCAGTTAACTTATTTATTCTTTTATATTTTTCTTTTCTTTTATCTGGTTCATCATCTTTAAATTTCAGGATTTTAAGAAATAAAATATATATTGTACGGTAGTGTAAATCCACATCTCTCAGCAGTAATGGATTTTGATGAATAATATATTTAAACGGGAGAGAATTTTATTGAGAAGTGACGAATCCCAATTTGACTCTAATGAAAGTAATCTAATTCAAATAACTATCTAACAAATCTATATTATTTTAACGATTCAAATCTAAAAAAAAAAACAATTTCTAATAAAACAGATTATTACATCAACAGTTGTATCTTCAATAAGGTCTTCTTTGTTTCCGACAAGTATGATCGGGCAACGAGAATGGGGTATAGCATCTCTCAGTAATGGTAGCCAATGGGTAGTTATCCTCATTAATGTCCGTTCATCGTCGACGGAATATACTAAGCAGATAACATGTGCTTTCCTGATTTCTTCGAGAAGCTGATCGTCAGTCTGTTCCGCAGCTAAAATAAAACAGTTTTAAATTAAAAATAACGATTAATATTAAGAAAATAGACGAAAATCAATTGTAACTATTAGTTAAAAAAATATACATACAAAGATAATAATAAAAATGTATTTGTTCAAATATAAAAATAAACAAAAACATATTATTAGAATGGCAATTATAAATTTCAAACACCATTTGATGAAGTCACAAATACTACTTATCTTTTATAAAATATTGTTATATCTTTTCTCTTTTTTCTTTAGTTGGTGATGACCAGGAATAAAAACTTTCGAACTACTTACAAGGATAAACAAGCAGATTATTAAATTTTCATACATAATTGCACAGATAATCCATAGAATTGTCGAAAAAACAGACATACTCGACATTCAGCAGTGTGATGAGATGATTTTATGTACATTCATCATATTGGATTGAGACTTTTAAATTTTATGTTATTGAAATGTTTAATTTAATACTCCGAGCCATGATAATAATAGTCTGTTGTATGATTGAAATTGTATTAGAAATATAACGTAATCTAGCCAGTCAAAAGACAGACAGTAGCCATCCATCATAAAGGAGTGAAACTTCGGAAGTAGTAACCAAAAACCACCAACTACAAATACTTTTAAACACAAAATAAACCATAAAATTCTCGATATTACAATATCACTTCTCCAAATAGCAAGCTGAGAACCAACAATTTTTAACACAGTACATTGAGAAAAATAAACATCACCAACAAATTATTAGAATATATATCTTTAGGTGTAAAGAACTGGGTAAGTCGGGCCTATGAAATGTATCATAAGTTCATCATAACAAAAATGTTCTGAGTCAAATAAAATAAGTTTTATATACTTTTTATTTTTAAGAAACAACTTGAATAACATTAAATTAATTTAGGCTTTGTCAGATTATCGTACAGTTGTTATGCATTTATCAGAACATTTTGTCGATATGTCAAGAAGCTTAACTTATAAAATTAATGTGAAGATAGAATAAAACAAAGTGAACATTTAATAAATTTCTAAAGAAATACACGACCATATACCTATACTACGAAACGGATACAAAACTTTTAGGCGTTAAGAAGAAAAATAAATTATTTTGACATAGCAACTTTTTCAGATGAGATTATAATTAAGTGTGCCATGGGGCTCAGAAATGAAATAAATTTAACTAAATATCTAAGATAATTATACTGACACAGACTAAATAAAAACTGTAAAATTTGAATCATAAGAAACTTAAAGATAAGAATGAAAAATATAATGTAGGATAAAAACATTCCGATTTACCTGAATAATCCACAATAAATGTTGGCACCATTTCTGGAGTGACATCAGCAGGAATTGTAATTTCTTCTGCTTTAGCAGGTACATCATCAGGAAATTCTTCACTAACTAATGATAATATCAATGAAGTTTTTCCTACTCCTCTATCACCCAATAATAGGATCCTTACATTTTTCCTTGTCGTTATTCGAACCATTTTTAAGAATGAATATGCAAATCCTACAATTTCATACTTAGTCTAGTTGAAGAAATGACAAAATAAATGAAAACCACTCATTTCTGTCAAACTTATGATTGATACAACAAGTGATCAAATAGAAGACATTATTTCATGATGTTCTCGGCCTCTAAAATGTAGATAAAGTGTGATGCAAGAGACGCTATAAATTTAAAACTTCAAGTAAATAAATTTCGGCAAAATAACATATTACCAGAAAGCCCCCCACAAAGCCTAACCGCCCTTATTACAGACCATACACTTTTTCTAACCTGAAATAAAGATGTATTATTATAAAACTAAAATTTTAATATATAAATAATAGACGTAGAAATAAATAACCGTGTAAACCTTTATTTTGACCAAATTTATCATTTAAACAACCATCACTTGTTTTTCAAATAATAAAATCGATATATCAACTAATGCTGGAAAGTTCATAGAGGTGTAGAAATACCGTGTAAAGAATTTTTCATTAGCCAATTAGTAAAATATTTTTATATCGACTAAGTAACTTTTTGCTTTTGGTATAGATCTCTTAGGTCAAAATAATGATGGGCATCGATGAGTAGGCCTGACACCCTCCCATATCACATCACAGGTTCCCTGAACATTTTGGAAAATGAAAATGAAGTATAGAAAATAAAACTTACAATTATGCATATTAGGAAGTATTAGATTTGGAGGTGCTAACTGAACATCTTGGGGTATGGATCGCAGAGTCTGAACATTGTGGGTTTGATTCCCCCCTGGGTCGATCAGTAATTTTTTCAAGTGGCTCCAGGAAATAAATATTGATATCTGTATTGGTAAATACGCGACAGCAACGTCTAGCAGTCTGGGGTTGAAATAAGGACCACAAGATCCACTTGCCTGACATATTTTCTCCACCATTATCAGTAAGGATGAATGGTATCTGTACTAGTGATTAAGTATCAGAAGACCTTAAAAAAGTAAGGGCTCAGAAAGGGATTGGAGTAGCTGGAATGAAGAGAGATTGGGATAAGAAAATCATAAGTGTCGTCTGGCCAATCAACGAGTCAAATACGATCGTCGAGATAAAGGCATTCATCTCAAGCCGGGATGTTTCCTGTATAGGCGGCAATATTTCCTAAGTATATTCCGAACCTGTACACCCAAAAACCATCTTACCTCCTTGATTTGCTTATTCCTTGTTCCTCTGTTCATTCTTTTAACACGAAATCCCAGTCCATAAACCTATTTGTTCCCTCTCATAGGTTTCTATTTAGGAAACGTTTGTTTCCTTTAAAAAAATCCTTGCTACCTTTTTCTGGAATTCATTACCTGCATCCATAAGCAAATCCTCTTCCTTAACCACATTTAAACAATTATTCTTCCATCTCTTAAGCGATCAATCTTGCGAATATATGTAAGATCAAAATCTCGTATTTAGTTTCGGAGTTTAATCATGATATTAGAATTGCTCTAACCTTTGAATCATTGAAGATAAGATAGTAAAGTGTAATATATATTCTTAAAATAAATTTAATATCAAACAACTTTTTTGTAAAATGAAATAATAAAGAGTAGGCGAGTCAAATAATGATAAAAATGCGATGTTTACCGAACGTTTTGTTTATCGAACGATGTTACGATTCAAACATTTCTATTGCAAATTTGGTCAGAATTAATTTCACATATTAACTTATTATAGATAGAACGCACAGTTTCACTGATATAAACAAAAAAAGTAAACTGTTTGAACCCCAAATTCAATTTTTCGACTTGAAATCCACTGGTATGGAGTAACTGAGTATTATTTCATGCCTTAAGACTGTAAGTACTATGAATTGAAAGGGTTGGTAGCTTTATATATCAATAAGCCCTCTCTTTATGTATGCTTACAACCTTTGTATAGTTTCTATCTATCTTCACATGGCCGCCATTTTATATTCCAGCGGCTATATACTGGCAGACTTGCATTTTTCTCATCAGGTCTGGGATATGGTCAATTTATAAGGAAAAAGCTTAGTATGAAATATGACACCTTTTTTGCCACGGGCTCCGGGACTATGTGAAAAGATGGCTAAAAATGACTTACTTTTGTAATAATTTACCCTTTTATGTTCCTTTACTTTTTTTTTTTTTTTTTTTTTCCCCATTTTTTGCCCTAAGACTTCCACAGAAGTCCTATACTTTCTTAACTCTTCTTAGTTTTCATTTTTTCTCTTCGAAATCCTTAAATAAGTATAATCATCTTATGTTTACAAAGCAATGTCTTTTCATGCATCTCCTTTCAATTTTTTTATTATTATATGAATATCTAGGATTATGTGATATTGGATATTTTGGTGTAAACAGAACACATTTTTTGTCCGTCCACTCCATTGCACAAGTGACTAACGTTGGCTTAATGCTGTCCAGGAACTTGTTCCGCGCTGAAACGTATCCACTTGTTACACGCTTAGACGCCGTTGTTTTCTAAACATAGTTGATACCCCACTTTGGAACTTCAAAGGGAGATAACAACAAACGAAGAGCATACTTTATACTTGTATGATTAATATTATAGGGTTTACGAGACTTTCTCGATATACCTTTCGGACCGTCCTCCAGAAAACAAGATTCTGTTTTGCAAAGTTGTTTACTTTTAAACCAACTTCAAAAAAGGTGGTTCTTAATTCAACATTTTTTTTAAAGGTATGTCAACTAAAGCAGATTATATGACAATGTGGCCATTTTCAACCTTGTTTCAGGGATTCATTTTTAATTCGAAACAGTACCTTCAAGATGGACCCATGTAAATTTATCTAGGATTAGATTCGTAAATAATTTAAAGGGTAAAATTAAACTTAAGGTTTACGGTTTTAAAATAAATCATATAAAACTATTTTCATTAATCAAAATACTCTCCTTACATTATCACCAACGTGTTGAAAACTTCTCTGTTCCCTCTGAATAAAAGTAAAATCGTTACTCTTGATAAATTATGAAAACGTAATTTATAACGAATTTCGATCCATGAAATGTTTACATTTTATAAAATAGCCAAGATTTCTAAAAAATAGTAGTCATTAGGCGAGAGGTCAGGAGAGTAGGGTGGGTGAGGCAGTCTCACAGCCAAGCTCCAATAATTTGGTGAAGTCATACATAATGCTGAGTGTTGTTGTGTAACATAATAGAACTTCTCTGATTAACCAAAGATAGCTTCATTAATGTAAATCTCTAGTGTCTTTCGTTATTGATAGCCTGGAGTCAAGAAGCTGTAGTGAATTAACCAAAATGAAGCCCTCCAAACAGTAACCATAACCTTTTTTTTTATAGTTGTGGACTTTGGAAAATGTTCTCCATGCTCCATTGTCCAGAATGTTTATAGATGTCATAAAGAATCCAATTTTCATCTTATGTAACAATTCTGGCTAAAATAGGTTTGTTTCTGTTGGGGCAAAGCAGGGGGTTTTTGAGGAGACATATAGAGATTGGTTTTTGAGGGAGGCAAATTTCTTCAACGGGGTTATGAATTTTCAGAATGAAATGTTTTAGGCAAGAGGAAAACATGGAACAGACAGCAGCAAGTGTAATTGTATATAATCTGCGATTTTACTAATCCTACCTTCACTTGCTCTGTTCTTCAGAAAAGTTAAGCACTGAAATACGTTGAGAGAGGGGATAGGTTTTCATGTCATCAATCTTGAGGGGTTGGAAGTGCAAACTTTATAACTAAGATTTTTTTTTTTTAATTAGGTTAGGTTTAGGCCTAAATGTGACACCTCACTTGGAATATCTGGCAGGTAGGGTGGCCCTAGCAATGAACGGTCTAACTCACGTGGGAGGGGAGGAAGCACATTCTGGGGTCTTAGGTATCCAGCCATAATTACGATATATAAAGGTGATGTGGAGGGTATCCTGAGGTATGCGTCTCCCTTCTGGTTCCGTAACCTCACACTACGATGAAAAAAAAGGCTAGCCTCGACTCAGAGGACATCTCTGCTTCGGGTCACAAGAGCATACAGGACAACTTCGCATGAAGCGGTGCAAGTCCTAGCGGGGGTGGTGCCTCTCGACCTCCTCCTACTAGAAGAAGTGACGAAATATTGTTATAAGATGGAAGGCTCTACAGTACTTTCGGACAATCTACAGGTGAGGATTATGGAAGCACCTAATAGATGGAAGAAGATACTATGGGAGGATACAATTGAAGCATGGAACGGGCAGTGGATAGCAACTCCTAAAGGAAGTACATTGAGGAAGTACTTTCCCACAGTACAGTCGAGGCTTCAGGCAAAGTAGGTCCTCCCGGATTACTGGATTTTCCAGTTCCTCACTGGGCATGGAGGATTTCGAGCTAAACTTCACGGTCTGGGTATTGATGTAGATCCTGTATGCCCAATCTCTAGTGTTCCGGAATCTGTAGAGCACGTGGACACGACCTGTACCGCATTTTAAACGTTATGAGCGACTATGACAAGAGCCGCGGGGATCTATGTCATCACTGAAAATGAGTTTCCTCAGTTAGTCAGCGAGTACAATTTCCCGTGGTTTAAGGATTTCATATATGGATGGAAGACGGCGGTGGGGCCCGCTCACTTCCATATTGGTGCCCGCAGAAGAAGAGGACAAGCGCCAGGAAGACCTCCAGATTCTGGAAGCTAGGCCGAAACAAGAAGAAGAAAACAGAAGAACTGCACATCATGTTAACTAGTAGTAGTGTGTTATTAAGCATTCATGCCTAATAACACACTATCGCAAACACCCGTATTACCATAGTGCATGGGAGGGTGGAATATATAAATAAATAAATATTAACTACGATTTTTTTATGATCATTTGGTGCATGAGAAAACCAAGTTTCAAGCTTTTTTATCACTAAAATTGCATTACCTCAATGCAATTTTGAAAGCTCTTGAACAGCACAGCAGTGGGATTTTCTTTGACCAAAGCTCATATCAAGGAAAGATGTCCTTATAATGACCTCCTTTGCCTTCAGGGATGAAGCCTCTGCATGTTTTTAAATCATCCTTAAAATATATACTCAAGCTTATTTTTTGAAAGGACATATTTTAAGATGTATAAATTTGTCTGAAATTGATGGAAAAGTCATGTAGTGTGGACACACCAGATTTTTTTCAACTCTTAGTTCTAACATTTTATTTGTCTTGCATATACGTATCATTCCTGATCCTGTTTTGAACAAATTTTTTAAATATCTTATCACTCCTAAAAAAATCATGAACAGATGTAATAATGATAAAGAATCTTTAGAAAAACTAAAGAATGACATAAAATAAATAAATAAAAATAAAAAAAGAACAAAATAATAATAAAATGCTTATTTATTTAAGAAATGGAGCATATAAATTAATTGTAAGAAAGAACAAAATATTCCAGAATTTAATTTTTTGTTTTCAATTGAATTTATACAATAATTTATTTGTTATTTAAGGTTAAATTAATAATAATAAGTTAAATATTATAAATATATAAACAAAGAAATTACATAACTCAGTCAAATTAAAGGAGGATTGATTCATGTTTGAAGTATATAGAAAGAATTAATTACTTTTTAAAATAACAGTAATTTCTTTACTTTGCTAAGTGTAACTTTTATCATCCTTAACAATCATAATTAAATAAATGTTGTAATCAAAAGACATAATCAATCACAAACAAAAAAATGGAGGATAATTATTAGAAAAGAAATATTTATTATACATCACACAAAGAATTGATACATTTGTATTTATAAAATTACAAAGAACTGTATACTAATGTTTCAAATGAAGCAAAAAGCACTGGAATGGTTTACATAAAATATAAAAGACTTTGCAAACCTGAAGGTTATTGCCGAGTTGTTTATAACAAAAAATAACAGAGGACTAAACAAATAAGTTAATGCATTGGTTAACTGATAAATGATGTTTATTATTTCATGTAAAAATATTCTAAAATAAGTCTTATGATGACTAAGATATCATTTACACATTTAAAATATATATTTTGGTAAAAAATAAAATAAAATAAAAAGAATAACAGGATTAATCAGTTCATTCAGAGAAATTGGCTAAAAAATTCTCTGATTCCTCAATAGTCTTTTGAAGTCTTTCTTTTGTCGCTTGTGAATTACCGGATACATTTAACTTGGATTTAGCAATATGAAGTCTAGTCTTATAGCCTGTTACATTATGTAAAACTCGAACGTGTTTCTCTCCACAAGTTATAATATATTCTCCAGCTGCGTCGAATAACACCTTTGTTATTGGACCTAAACATAAAAGAAAATTCTAACATCAATTTTTCTTTTCAACATATCGTCAGTAAAAAAATTATAATAATGTATAATTCAAGGGAAATTCTCATGAAATGATCTTATTTTGGTTAATTCAGACATAAATATATAATAAATCCACATCAGCGCTGCAATTCATGTTTCGTTCTATCGAACAAGCCATAACTAATGCGTAAAACTAAAATTTATTTATGTTACGGGGAGTGGGGTAGCTTAGTGGTAGGGTACTGAGCTTCCAATGCTAAAGGTCCCAGGTTCGAATCCCCCGGCTCATGGCAGAAAAATTATTTATTCTATTTCGTTGGCCATAGGGCGACCCTGGGTCAGAAGACCCTCCTGGGGCATACCCACCCTCTATAAAGTGGGTACCCTTAATTAAAATAATTAATTAAAGGAAAAAACCTGGCGGTTAAGCGTGATCTAGGTCAAATCACCTCCTTGCACAACCATAGACCAAGAAACAGTGCTTTTCCTAAGTAGTACTGAACCCGTTCATGGGTTGAAGTGGTACAGTTATTTTTTTTTTTTTTTCCGTTATTGAATTCAAGTTATGTTCATAATAGGCTATTAATTTATATATTTTAATTTTTTGTCTCTTCCACGTAGGGTCATTGGCCACACTGTTAATCTAAATCCTGTTATATATTTTACCACTTTAAAGAATTTTACGGGTATTGACATTTGTGGGATATGACAAGGTAGTCTTATATGACATATTTTACTGTTCATTGGACATTGCAGCTTTCATATGTTCACAAGGGGATTCCAATCCTCTTAATAAGTATCGATGAGATGATTCACAATGCCCAATCGCTAGCCGGCAGAGGGCAGTTTCTTATTTTCTGGATGTTATGTTTGAGATTTTCCATTTAGAGCACTGAATTTTTTTATCTATTTCAGTTTTGTATCTTCTTGTTCCATATGTTCATCATATTTTATAAAAGGTCTTAAAAAAAAAATAAATAAATACAATAGAATAAAAGAATAACAACGATAAAGAAGGCATACCTGTATATAAATGTGGAATCGTTAAATCAACTAGTCCTTCAAGGGCATTGATTACGGTAAGGCAAGAACCACTTCCAATAGCGATCACTTGACCGTCAGGAGAAATGGCGGCGGTATTCTTGGAATTAGGTTCACAATTATATTTTCCACTTTTTAGTAAATGCGGTTCTTCACCTTTGGCATACTCAACTAAATAAAAAAATATGTATGAATTTCAAAAAATATGAGTGTATATCCATATTGTATGAGTGTAAATAAAATAAAATAGGCATAATTTTTCATTTTATATAACATATATTAGGAAAGGAAAGTATTGCAATCAGGTCAAATTTCCGACATGCGGTTTTTGACAGATCTATACGTTTCGGAGCCTCTGAGTTCGAAAAAACAAATTTTTAGCCATTGGTCTGTCTGTCTTTACCAAGATTTTAGCCTGTTTTTTTTTAAAGATAATGAAATTCCCTACAAAACTGTATAAAAATTGTTCATTGCAAATTGGGTGTTCCACACGCAATAAATGAAAAACATGTTTTTCTATAGACTGTAGTGCGAAAACGGCTCAAACGATTTTGATGAAACTTTCCTATGTTTTAATAATTGTCCTTTCAATTTTCGTACATGGACTTTATTCCCGAGAAAATTTAGAAAAAAAGTTATAAAGAAAAGAAAAATGTTTTGGGGCCTAACTCGCTAAGTATATATTCTATGGAAAAATTTATAATAAAACTTTTGAAGGTTTATTAAATTACCAACAAAACTACATTAAAATCGTATATTTTAGACAACTATTAATGAAGTTACAGCTATTTCAAATGTAAGATTACGGGTTCATGTCTTGGTGTCAGAAAGGGGTGAATGAGAGAAAAAAGATAACTAAGTAAAAATAAGAAAATCTGTTTCCTGCATCACACAAAGCTTCACTATTTTTTCTACTTTTAACAGAAACAGCAATGTTAGAGGGTATTGCATTTTTTACACTGATCTACCTTAAGCCGGTTTATATTGCTTCAGTTTATCGAATAACTCCACGAATAACCTATATGAAATGGTGTTTAAGTGGTTCTTGAAGTCCTATTAAATGTAATTACACGAACAAGAATACTTTAAGAGATAGTATTTTAATATTTTTTTCTGTAAAACATGGTTATATTTCACCATTTTGGGGGAGGGGGCTTCAGCCCGAAGGTCCCCCTGTAGATCCACCTGTGGCATGGCCCCTTAGTTAGTTGATCCGTTTGGCATGATCTCCACTCCGATAAAGTTAAAATAACGAGGTTATGTAGGCCAAAGGCCCCAATATTTTTGTAGGCCACCTTTTTTCCTTTTTTTTTTTTTATATTTTGTGATCATATCTTACACTCAATCATAAATCGCACTCAAAACTTTTCTTTGATCAATTTTTAGGAAAATAAATCTAATTCAATTTTTTTAGGTTTCTTGATGGACATATGTAAAGATATAAAAAATTTTCTGAAATAGGTAGGAAAGTCGTGTGAGTGGACACACCAGATATTTTTTCTTTTGTACTGAACACAGCTTCTACTTGATTCAAAAAGGTTGCCGACGCTTCAAGGCATTAAAATTTTGAGAAAGGAAATAAGTGATGGGATAAACAGTTATAAATAAAAAATATTTAGATAATGGATTTACTCACTCTTTATATTGAAAAGTCTCCAATTTCCATCTTTAGAAACAGTTACTACTTGACTACAGTCAGCACTGAAGTCGAAATCAAATACTCCTGAGGTATGGCCAGTCAGTTCAAAGGCTCGGTTCACTTGTTTAAATTCTCCAGATTTTGTAAAAACGACTTCCCAAAGTTTAACATCAGGAGCAAATCCTGCAATAAAAACAAACTAATAATAAAATAATATTTAATAAGTATTAAGATTAAATGAAGGAAATATGAGAAAATATATCCGACAGTGTTAAGACATTACATTAGTAGGCTTGAGTTTAGCAGGACCAGTTCTCTAGCTCCACTAAAGAAGGCAAGTATTCTGGGATCTTGGATACACAATGACTAGCTACTGAGGTATGTGGCTACGTTCTGGAAACAAATCTTGAAAAAAAAACCAAAAAACAAATGCGACAAAGGAACAGGCTGGCTTCAGATGTCACATGAAATGGTGCAGGTCTTGGCATGGGCAGTACATCTTATCCTCCTGTGAGGAGACATGACGGAATACTTATATATAAGTGTAGTAGACATCCCCTGTATTTCCTCCTTTATATGACATTGTGTGAGGAAATGAGAAGGAGTATATAATATATAGGAAAGTGAGGTTGCATGATGAATTGTACTCAATTGTGCAGTGGACAAATTTTTCATTGAAAAGTCTTAAATCGATAAACAATCGATGAAGAAGGAAAAAGGTCCGGTCAGGTAGCAGCAGCTGCAGGAGGCACTTGAGGCCTTGACACGAAGATGAGAAGACGTCATCTGGGAAGAGAGGCTTACTACATTGAAGACTAAGAATATCAAGCCTACAGTTATAAGACTTTAATAGATTCATTTATTACAGTTGTTAAAATAAATTGTTTTATTATACAGGAGTGAAAAGTCATTTTATTTAGTTGCCTATATGCCTCACAACTGAAGAATAACAAGCCAGGTGAGTCAACCCATTCAAAGTATGTTTATTGAGTCCCACATTTCGTATATGTATTCTTATTGTTTCTTCTCACTCAATGTTACAAAAGGTATTGGATTCCCGAATTCCCAACAACAGATAAACACCCTCAAAAAGTCTATATCCAGTGCCGGGGTTTTGTTTTAAAGATTCACGAGTGTAAATAACCTAGTTCCCCGATATAAAGCGAAAGGCTATTCCCAATTCCCACCCAAAAGGAATATTTAAAATTAAATCTAAAACATGTTATTTACATAAGAGAAGACTCTACAGGATTTCCAAAAAATCTTCCGGTGAAGAATATGAATGAGCCTAAGAGATGGAAGAAGCTAATCCGAGAGGACCCGATTGAAACATGGAGTCTAGAAAGTACTTTCTCACGGTTCAGTTGAGACTACTGATGAAGTGGGTCCTCAAGACCATTGGATTTCCCAATACCTCATTGGACATGAAGGATTTCGAACCAAGTTCCACAATCTTGGCATTGATGTAGATCTTTTATATACAATCCGCAGTGTTCTAGAAACTGTAGAGAACGTGGTCACGACCTGCAGCACATTTGAGATTTTAAGAGCCACAATGATGATCTCAATCGTGATTGTAATTCACTCTAGTGAATGCACCAGTTATGAACAGGGTATCCAGTGATAAACAGGTCGGACTTTAAATGTAAATAATAATCTTTCTTCTTGATTTAAAGGTTCCAATTTTTTCTATATTGAAGAGTAATGCCCCCCTAAGAATAATGTTTCCAAAAGACAAATTTATAATGCCTATCATTGTTGTTTCTATAGTGCTCCTGAGATCAGTGTGTTTCATACCTTCCTACTAACAGTTTTGCTAAGAGTCTTCTTCATTCTTCATGGATGCTACAACTCATCGCTGAGTCTTGACCACTCGTCTCTTTCCCTTGCACCTCTCATCCAGTTAGCCAGTCCAAAAAGAGCTCTACCATCCATGTCGACCCCATCCATCCAGTGCAATCTAGGTCTTCCAACGTCAGCATAATTTTGCTGGTTGGGCTATTCTCATCCATTCTCACTACATGACCCGCTTATTTTAAATGCTGTATTCTAATGAACCGGAGTACATCAGTATCATTATGTATGGCAGCCCAGTTCTGCATTATTTAACCTTGGAGCCCAAAGAAGAAGAGGTCCCGCACCAAGTAGACCGCCAGACCCAGAAGAAGTGTAACAGAAGGAGGATTTAAGAATACAGAACACCTTAGAAAACCATCGATGAAGCAGAGAAGCGAAGGCTATTGTTGCCGAAAGGCTAGTTAGGGATATAAATAAAAAATATCATAAGCTCAAAAAATAATTACTTACCAGAAGCAGCTATGAAAGTTCCACAAGGAGATACTTTCGCAGTATAGTTATTCATTAAATAGGTGTCAAGCCTTGATATTTCCGTTCCTTTCAAATCCCATAGAACTAATTCAGTCCCGCTAGATGAAGTCATTATAAATTTTCCAGTTACGGCTATTCCTAATCCTATAGTTTCTTGATTGTGAACCTACAAATATAAATTATCTTTATCAGTTATCAAAGGATAAATAAATAAATTTATTAGGTAAAAATATTAGCCATGAGCTATCAATTGCTTTCCTTCAATTTGGATCTCTTATAAATAAATGTATTTATCCATATTAAAGGAACAGTAGTTTGTAATCATATTATTTATTTTGGCTTATTGTTTTCAATAACAAACCTTAATAATCAACTAATCAGAAAAAAAAATTAACTTTCCTAAAAATTAGAGGTTTAACATTCCAAGATCAGTAGAAATAAAAATAAAATTTTCTCCAAGACTACTGGGACGATTTCTTTCAAAGTTTTTCATATTTTCAGAAATTATTTTATAGAACTTACTTTCTTTCTTTCTTCTCAAATGTTAGCCTACTTAATTATTTTAAAAAAAATAATTTTGTCAATTTTTAATGTATATATTTATTTTGATTTGATACTATTATAAACTAAATTTTAAAAGGTTTATAATGGAATGGAGATAATTGACTACAATTAAAATTTAGGAACAAGTTAAGTTGAGAGTGCCCATCAAGGGTTATTATCAACAGTTAATACTAAATATTATAGTAGTGCATTATTACATTTGCCATGTAAATGTAAAAGGCACCATGTAATACAATACTATTATAATACTTAGCATGTCTACTGACCGAACTACCAACTAACTTAAATTTAAAAAGTTTAATTGAAAATTAATCATAACTGTCATATAATACAATTATAACTATCCTAAACCTCTTACAACTGGTTTTTGAAGAGATAATTAACTTGGATATGGGCTTGTCAGCTAAATTTTTTTAAAACCCACAGTACATGTAACATAATGTTGGCTTATAGCAACAAGTAAATTTTTGATGAAACTGAATTTTTAAGAACATTTATGCTAATATCGACCTCATTTATTGATAAAAAAACAAAACAAAACACATTAAGTGTATTAAAATGACACAAAACCTTTTACATATCAAATGTAGTGTTATAACTACTACTCCTTGGCGCTACAGACTGATGTCCTCCTTGGCCTCTTCGAATAGTTTTCGCTAGGCAGTTAAGACTTGTGCCGCCGCTCAACAGTTGGAGATGTTGAGTACGTACGTTATGGGCATCTCTGGCAACAGTGTCCTCACATCCAGCAGTTTCCTAGGTATTTCTACTATCGACATGCGTGCAATGTGGCCAGCCCACTTCATTTTTACCAAACTAATAATGTCAGTCTCGCCATGAAGTTGGTAAATTTTGTTGTTTGTTCTCCATCTCCAGTTCTCTCCAACCCTTACCGGTCCAAATATTTATCACAGAATTTTTCTTTCAAACATAATAATTTCTCTCTCCTCATTACTTGAGAGGGTCCAGGTCTCTAATCCATATTTTAGGAGGCATCCAGGCCTTATAAGAGTTTTATATAAGAGGCAATTAGTGTGGTGGGTGCTTTCTGAGACCAAAATAGTACCTGTTTTGCTTTTATGAGTCGCTTACTGTTTTATATTGAGATCCTGTTTTCACAACTCATCACTGATCCTAGGTGAACAAACTGGTCAACGTTTGTAACATAAATTTGCCCATGGACTGTCGGTTCGCTGTCTCCACTCCTGGCCCAGCTCTCATATACTTTGTCTTCTCCTGGTTTACACACATCCACATATCCTCTGCAGCCTTTGCCAACTTAAGAAAAGCTTCTCTTAAGGACTCGAAAGATCTTGCGACGATATCCAAGCCATCAGCAAAACTGAGTACTTGAACGAGCCGGTTGAAAATGGTGTCAGAGGTCTGTATGCCAGAATCATGTAGAACTTTCTTTAAGTCTAGGTTGACCAACAGCCATCTCTTTGTCTAACACCATTGGTAGTTACAAACTGTGAGGTGAGATCCGACTGATCCTCATAGTACAGGTTTTACCATCCATTGTCATTCTGATCAGTCAAATCAATTTCAAAGGGACTCAAAAGTTTTCTCAAAACTGCGTACAACTTAGGCCTTTTAATGCTGTTGTAGGCTCTCTGAAAATAGACTAAGAGGTGGTAAGTTGTCATCCGATACTCCTTAGACATCTCTAGTATCATCCGGAGACTAAAAATAAAAGACTAAAATAGACATTTGACCAACTGTAGATCTTCCACCTCTGAAATCAGCTTGATATTTTCCAACTTCTCTCTATACAAATTGGAGAAGTGAAATGCCCCGGTAGTTGGAGCATTCCAGGATGTTACCTTTTATATAGTGTTACAACAAGCACACAATTTTCTGATTTTAGAAAGGGAAAATTCATCAAAATTATTAGTGATTAAAGGTTAGGAAGAGTCACTTAATTACTTCTTGAAATTAACCGTTTATGTGCATTAATATGCCAATAATTAAAATCTTTTGGATTTGCTTTAGAATTCATCAGGAGGATGAGGGGAAGGTGTTCAAAGATTATAACGTGTTCATTAATTCTATGCATCTTCCAAAGAAAACAATAATTTTTATGTAAGCAAGCAAGTAAATGTTTAGTTATTTACAACTAAATAAGTTGCTTAGCATAGGAATGTTACATACCTTCGGAAATGATATTGCTTTACTAATAGACGCTATCCATCCATCAGGTTTTCTAATAAGTTTGCAGACATCTAAGTTGTTGTCAGAATGTCTGTTGTAAACGAATGCCTTAGAATCTGGACTCCACCTAATAAGAGAAGCATGATCATAATCAACATTATACCTTATGAATTTATGATCTTTCTCTTTCCAGTCCTTTGTACTCCAAACAAAGATAGCCCTATCTAGAATAAAATAACAAGTTAATATATCTATTACCTGATCTATCTAATTCAAATTAATATTATTAAATTTATTTATTGTATTTATCTTTCAGAATAGCAATAGAAGGAACGATATTGGTAAATTATGGAAGCACTTTCTAAAGTCAAGTTTATCATTTTTTTCTGCCACCAGGTTGCGGTACTAGTCATCAGTTGTATTGACAAGTCCTTTCTAATCTTAACAGCTATTATCGGTTTCACTCCTTATCTTGTCTTAATGCTCATGTGTTTGATTTCTACTGGCAAATAAATACCTATGCACCGTAAGACCTGGACCCAATGTCTATTGTTGAAGTACCCAACACATTTTTGCAGCATGAGTAGAAATCAAAAGCTGTGAACTACTTATTGCAATGTTGATTAAAATTTTAATGATGAAAAAAAATGCAATATTATACTTCATGTAAAGTATGCGAAAGATGTGGTGAATAAATCAGTAAGAGTTACCTATTTTAGAAATACAAAAAGAAATAAAGCGAGTGTAGTTCAAGTACAATAAAAAATATACTAAGAGATGTGATTCCACGAAGCTTTCAATATTCTATGGCTTAGCAATAACGATTATTTCTCGAATATCAAGTGGAACAATTAAGATTAAAAAAAAAAGTGTTAGAGAAAGGCACTAGTATTTATACATTAAAAGGCGTCAATTGAAATGTATAAAAGAACACAAGAATAAAATAATTTTAAAATTTATTTAAAAATTAAAGAATACTTATAACTGAACAAAAATTGATATATTACCATCAGCACACGTTGCCAGGAATTTCCCATTTGCACTGAAATCCATGTCCTGTATTATGCCACTATGACCTTTCAAAGATGTCACAAGCCAATCGTGAGTAAAATTTTGTTTGGGATCCCGGGTCCACTTTTCGGGATGTTGTTTCTTCTTGGGAGCTTTATTAACAGTCGATGTAGTTGTTTTTTTGCTAGGTTTTTGAGTAGGTGATTCATCTGAAAGCAAAATTAATCAAAATCAACACTTATAAAAAAAAAAAAAGTAATGCTACTCTAAATGGTTTGATGAACCAACTACATAAGGATAAAGAGGTATATTTTGACCATTATTTGGTGGTCGAGTTGGGAATGAGTGAACAAGAATAGAGTGGGAATAGTCTTTAATTAACAGCCAAGGTGTAGATGCCCTTTTCTCACCATAGGGTTAATACCTCATAATAAATACTGGATATGAAAGGTGGGGATGGAAACTATACCGCTATGAAAAAGATGTATAGCCATCATAATATATGTCTTATTATATATTTTCTTAGTTCACTCCCATGTAAACTTGCATTATACTAAAATGGCACCGCTGTCATCACAAGTCTCTTATCAAAAAACAAAAGCACTATCACTAAAACTAAACTGTGATAACATGTCAAATTTTTAACCTTCCTCTTTCAAACAATAATCTAATTTTAATTCTATAATATACATATATATAAAACATAATTGTAGAGTTAAGCTATTATTATAAATAAAAATTAGACGAATTAGAAATTTAAAATAAAGAAAAATGGAGTAGAATATGTACTTCAATATAAGTTTAAAACAAATAAAAAACATCTAACAATCTTGGAAATATGATTTGAACAAAGAAAAAAACCCAAATTGGTTTGTTGTAGAACCATTCTATCTTTGAAAGAAAATCTAATTCCTTACGTTCTTTATTGACAGCCTTATCTTCTTTGAAGTAAAACTGAGATATTGTGACCCAGGCTACCAAAACAGTAACTATAATGGGCATGTATTTAAGCAAAAGAGGAACTACAGTTTTTTGTAAAACTTCAGAGAATGGAGGGGAATCCATTATTAATTCGCTAATGGGTTGAAGAATTCAAAATTTCTAACAAAAACAATAATCTTTCATTTGCACAATGGCGGGAAAAAAAAACCTCTCCCATTTACAAAACATTATGACAGGTTTTGATATTAACCGCAAGGAGCGCTGTCATGGAAACGTCATAAGCTACTTGCAAAGAGGTATGACGAATTATGATTATAATTGAAGTTACTAACTTAAAATTTTATTCCATTATATTTTTCATCATGAAAACGAATTTAGGTTTAATTTTTATAGTTATTGGGATTGTCAAAGGTAAAAATAAAACTGGAAATATTTATATGCTCGCACACATGCATTAAGGATTTTTCTTCTTTAGATAAGTAAATGGCCCCTTACATGGTCAATATTATTGCGCTAATATTATTGAAGCAATATAATTGAAGACAATATATTGAAGTAGCACCTCACACGGGTCGATTATATTGAGTCAATATTATATCAATACCTCTCTCCCCCTCCCCCAAAATAAAAGTAAATGTAAAACAAAGTAACACCCCCCTACTGAAACCTATGAATATCAGTTTATCTTTTAAAAACCAAATCTACCTTTCCTTCCATCCTACCGAAATGTTTGAGGCGATCCGAAGGCTAAAAGAAGATTTTTTTTATTATTTGGGTTTTATACAACTTAAGGAGTCATATCCCCAAACCCAAAAGCCACTGCTCCGTGTCCATCCAATCTCCTTCACGAAGCCCTCTGGCTGCCATGCTTTCCTCCACGTCCTCTATCCATTTCTTCTTTGGCCTTCCACGCTTCCTTCTTTCAGGTGGCATATAGTTATAAATTTTCTTTGGCCAGCGGTTCTCATCCATCCGCATTAAGTGGCCATACCACTTTAACCGTTTGGTCCCGATCAGGTGAAGGATGTTCTTTTGACATCCGACCTTGTCTCTAAAAGAAGATATCGATAGTATTAATACCTGGGCAGCAAACAATGATTACCATATACCATAAATTACCATTTTACACATTTGTTGATCAAGAAAGAGTTTTTCCTGAGCCCAAATCCTTTGATGGATTGTAATGGTTTAGGGATTATAACATAAATTAGTGGTATGAGCAAATTATCAGTAATTATTATTATTTTCCCATCATATCTCTTTTACTCTTACTACTACGAAGTGAAACGTATCCTCATTTTGTATTCACAACACCATATACAGACACAATATACCGCCATCGTTTGAGATTTGGTTAAAACATTATATGGGGCTCACATATCAAGCATACAAGAAATCCATAGACCAAATAATAAGAGTTATATATTCAATTATTTTAAAACTTAAACTTTGAACTTGTACATATTTGAACTTGTACATATTGAACATATGTACTTGCCGACTGAAACCTATTTGGAGCTACTCATCGCGGATATTTAGGTTCCTAAAATGACTCATATTAACAGACTTTGCAAGTTAATACATTCAGAACAAAAACAACTGCACCTTAGTATGTTAGCAATATTACATACCGATCTTTACATATTGAAAAACGAGGAACACATACACTGCGATCCACTACAAACCATCCATACCATTGTAATCCATGAAAAATTACAAGGACACCCTAATGCGCCATAAATAATATGGCCGCAACAATCATCCCGGCTAATTGCTAATTGTGTACTGAATAGAAGCTGGATGAGGGACTTCATCAATAAATTTTCACATGACACCAGTAGGTATTGCTGGGTACTAGTCATCCCATTACACCTACTACGTTCTTTATTCTATTCCTCTAATTCAGAGCTTGCGACAATAATCATTGACATGTGTAGAATGAAGATTTGAGATTTAAAAAAAAATACTCCATAAATTTGACGAACTTTTGTGGTAATAACAAATATTTGCTTGTACATAGTTCTTGGTAAACCTCTGCCTACAACCCATGAAGGGTCTTGGTTTCAGTACTAGTTAGGGAAAGCACTGTTTCTTGGTCTACGGTTGTGCAATGAGGTGATTTGACCGAGATCACGCTCAACCGCCAGGTTTTCCCCTTAATTAATTATTTTAATTAAAGGTACCCACTTTATAGAGGCTGGGAGTGCCCCTTGGAGGTCTACCTACCCAGGGTCGCCCCACGGCTAATGAAACAGACTAAATAATTATTCTGCCATGAGTCGGGATTCGAACCTGGGACCTTTAGCATTGGAAGCTCAGTACCCTACCACTGAGCTACCCCTCTCCCTTAGTTCTTGGTAAAGAAGTGAGAAAATTTAATGTATTCGCTAAAATGTATTGGGACCACAGCCTTGAGGAATGCATAGTGACTATGAACAGTAAGACGGATTTGGTACGAAGATTTGCCATTGCAGTTGGATGATGTTGAGAAGACAGACTTGTAGGCCATTTTTGCAACATTGTTCATCGTTTGTGGGGGTTTAAGTGCGACTACTAGTTCAATTTTTCACACAGATTGAAGTAGATTGGAGCAGGAATTGAGACTGTTAAGAATATACCTAAGGACTTTTTACCAGAGTTGTTTTAAAAGGATAACTGAAATTTATTTTATCCTGAGGCAAACGCCGAAATATTAAAGCAAAATGTTTTATACTGGTACACAAATGAAAGAGAGACAGGGATATTTCTCATTCCATGCTATTTTTCGTACTAAACGATAATTATTGTTTTAACATTATTTATAGACAAAGAACAATAAACTGATGTTTATCCAACATCTTATGGATAAAGTGTAGTTCAGATTTGAACATATTTTATTAAGTGAAATTATGTCCTTGGTGTCTAAATTATGGACTTTATTCCTCATTAATTGATTGTGGGAAAATTATGATTAAATAAAATTTTAAATTCAAGAAATATATATTTATTGATAAATGATCTAGAAGGCAACATTGCAGGGATAAATATTACTGGTTACTGCTGATGTGTTGTTTTTGCCGCAGTACATTTTAAATAAAAAGTTAGTGATTTTCTCGTTTGGTCAATGGAAGGAACAAATTGTCTTGTTAACTGCATTTTTAATTAAAATCACTGGAATGATCATTTGTAGGACATATATTTCAGTGGTTTTACTTTTTATGAAGAACATCTGGATTTGAAAGTAGATAACGCTAGTCGCCTATTTTTATAACATATTTCAAAGCTGCGATGTTCATAAAACATTTATTTAAATCTTTCTTTTGTGTTATTGCTACGACTTTGGCAACATTAAGTGATGTTGTCAGTATAGGAGAGGTTATTTATGCTATCAATGCCGGTGGCGAAGCACATACCGATGTTTTCGGTATTAAATATGAAAGAGATCCCTTGTTCGGGAAAGTTGGGACACCTTCTGATTATGGTAAACAGTTACTGATAGGAAGAGTACCACAGAATGATCATATCTTGTACCAGACCGAGAGATACCATCACAACACCTTTGGGTATGATATACCTATTAACAAGGATGGAGATTATGTCATGGTTTTAAAATTTTGTGAAGTATATTTTAATGCTCCGAACATGAAGGTCAGTGAAGGATGTTTTGTTTAAAATTTAGTTGTGAAGTGTTATCAATTCTGTCATTTTAATTTAGGTTTTTGACATAGTATTGAATGGCGATCATACAATAGTTGCGGATCTTGATATATTTGATAAAGTCGGAAGAGGCGTAGCCCACGACGAATATATCAGCTTCAGTGTTCAGAATGGGCGCCTTTATTATAATGAAGAAGAATCTGATATCAGAGGTGGAAAAATTAGAGTTGAATTTATAAAGGTACATTTGTTGATTTATATTTTTTATCAATAACTGCCTTTTGCAAATACTGACACATCATCGAAAATGTCTTTTTATTATATTTATTTATTTTCTTTTTTTCTTTTAGGGTTATCGTGACAATCCAAAAATTAATGCAATTTATGTAGTTAAAGGAAAAATTGAAGGTAAAGTATTAATTTTTTAGTTCTTATTATTAATTGAAATTAATGTCAATTCTCCAATTAATTTCTATTCTGGTATGAATTAATAATAAATTTGAATGAATGGGGTTTGCGCATCTGCATTGAGTTCAGTCAATCCAATAAATAATTCCTTTTATGGAATTAAACGATGATGAATATGATTGAATGGAATTTAATGATTTAAAGCTATCCATTTTAATATTTCATCCAGTAGAAATTTATTATATTTAAACTATTGATATAGTTAGTAATATATGGTTCTAGGGAAATGAATGTTTATTTCTTATTTCTTTTTCCTGTTATATTTTATTCAGTCTTGTATTGGTTTTTTTTTTTTGTTTATAGAAGGGAAGTACACTGCGATAGTGTAATGTGTTCCTCTTATCATCTTGATAAAAATTAGTCAACTTTATCACAATCTTCCAAACCTATTTTTAGTTTCATATTATTCTCCAGTCTTACTTGAGTCATTTGCACAATAGTTTTATTTGAAATTTCTGAAAGTAGTTCTTTTATTCAGTTCTTATCTTTATACTCAAGACAATTATCAACAAATGTCTATTAAAGTTTTGTACTTGTTACTTTCTTCTTCTAACTTTAGTCAAAATTCTGTATAAATATAGAACATGATTTTCTTTGAAATAAAATTGTCAATTACTTTACGCGCACATATAAAAATTTATTAAGTTATTTTTTAAGGTTAAAGAATAAAGAAGTACTTGAGGAAATATACGTTTAAATTCTGCTTCATAGATTTAATGGAACTATAAGGGTTTACACCATTTTAATATTCTCATAAACATTAACGACTTAATCACTACTTTTGTGCTTTGTCAAACCTGTTTCTTCTTATTTAATTATTAATTATTTTTATGAAGGTTAATTAAGAACCATTTTTGATAAAAATTAATTTTTTATTTTTTAAATATGATATTTTGTTGGATATACAGGATGTTTCAGGGTTAAGTGGCCAAACTGAAAATATGAATTAAGGGCCTCAAAACAAGAGAGAAAAAATTCCTTTGAAGTTATGTCCACAAACGCTTTGTTTAGTTGATATTCACACCTAAAGATTTTCATTGATATGAATTATTTACGTTATATTAAGTAAATAAAACTTATTTATTTGTTCCAACTACTTTATTAATTACACGTAAACATTAAATTCATATTAAATGTTGTTCAAAGTAATTTCCTTGAGCATCAAGACAGACTCGGCATCTCTCTTCAACATCAGCAGTGGCAGAACGTCACTGGATATGTGTTATTGTTTCATTGTAATTGTATTGTTATTGTTATCATAAGAAATTTAAGATCATTGACCGGATTTGCATATAATTTTTGTTTAATGTCACCCAAACAAAAAAATTCAGTGGTTTCAGGTCTGGAGAGTGTGCAGGCCAAGCCACTGGGTCCAGAATAAATAAATTTTATTTATTTTATATAATATACATAATTCATAACAATGAAAATTTTTAGGTGTGAATATCTCCTAAACAAAGCGATTGCAGACATATTTTCAGTGTAATTTTTTTTCTTTTTTGAGGTCCTTAGTTCATTTTTGCATTTGGGCTGCTTAACCTTTAAACACCCTGTATGGACATTTTATTTTTTTGCAGTCTTGACCTTTTTTCATTATATTTTATCCAAGCAGTTGTGTATTTGTTTTACAAGGATCAAACATAACACACAGGTCAAATAAAAAAAAAAAATAATAAATAAAAATTTGAGACAGTTTGTTTTCATATAATTATATAAAGGAATAACTAAAGTAAACAAAGATATATGTATTGTATATGTCAAAGGTAAATAAGGTTTAAATTAGAGACTTTAATGTCATCAATGAATTTATCCTCTAGGACTTTTATAAAGGCCTAGTATGGATCATCATAATTTATTTTACAGTATGTTACTATTTTTGTTGTAGATGTTCCGAAACTTCCTCCTCTTCCTGAAGCGGAGGAGTGGAAGAATGAAGAAAGCGAAGACAGATCAAGCAATAGCAAATCGAGGAGGCCTAGCGGCCCTAAAACACCAGATCCTTATTCTGTCGACGATTCATCTTTGATGTTACCCGTTTTTATAGCTATCGGTGCTTTTTTACCTCTGCTATTTTGTATGTGTAAACTGTGATCGTAATCGTTGTTATTATTATTTTCATTGTAATAAAAACACTCGTAGGTCATAACACTTTCAGTTTGTGATTCTCGTACTTATACACACACTCACACACACATACACACAGAGGCATGCTTCAAAGTACAAATTGAGTGATCTAATTTTTAATTAATAATTTGACTGTTATTATCACTAACATTTTATTTTTATTTTTTTTTTTTGGAAACGTCAGACTTTGAATGTATTATCATGCGATATGTCTATCACATCATTTAGAAGTATTTATAGTTAGAATATCGACTGAAATTTATAAGTATTGTATATTTATAATCATTTCGTTTGTTATTTTATTTATGGATTCAGTATTGCTATTATTTTTTTATTACTTGTTTTGTCCGTTTAAATCTTATTTATTTTTATGTTACCACTTATTATATAAAAATTATATATTTATATTTATATAAATAGGATCCTATATGTGGGTTTGAAAGTATTCATGATTGGTGTTATTATTATTTTAATAATTATTTGAAATAGCAAAAAAAAAAAAAAATTGACTCCCTGTTTAATTTTGTGACTATTACTCACTTGTGCTTATGGAAAAATTTTGTTGAAGATCTATTTAAATTATCATCTTTAAGAAATATTTGCTCTTATTTATCATTTCTTTATTAAGCTATCCTGTATTTTGTGGTAAGTGGAATCATGATAGTTACATATAGAAGGTAATAATTCAGTTAATCGAGAAGATATTGCATATTTAGTTAAACTTTAAATAAGGCGTATCTTGATGAATATATATATGGGTGTTTCCATGAAAAGTAACCTTTTTTGGGAAGAAAAACAAAATTTATTTCTGGTTTTAATCTCATTTTTTCGGTCATATTTATCACTGCAAAAACTCGTTAAGATCATGAAAATAACACAAGTTGTTATAAATAGTATAAACTAAGGAAGAGACACACATGTTTTTGAAGTGAAAACTTCTTTAGGCGCGTTTTGCACTTTTTTGTGAAGAGTGAATTAGATTGATCCGTCAGATTTCCGGACTGTTAAAGTCTAAGCTAGAATCGATTAATTCAAATGGTTTTACATATTGATTAAAATATATCAGAAACTAAAATCGGGCCTGCATGCTGTGAGCGAGGAAATTGTTCATCCTCTCTGTAATGGGCTATTATTAAAAATTGTATCATAACACTACGTTGCCTTAGAGAGGTGAAAAAGGAAAATATAATAATAATAATTCTTTATTTATTCTGGGACGAGTCCCTTTAGAATAATACAGAGACAAATATGTGGGCTAAGGAGCCTCAGAGATACATAAACAAGAATATAGTTTGATTAAATAGTCAAAATAAAAGAAATTATAAGTTACTTTCTAATTTACATGTGTTAATAATAAAAAATAAAAAATTGAAAATAAACATGAAGTAAAAATAATAAAGAACGATCTAATAATTTATGTACATATTTACAGTAGTAACTATTTGCAATTTTATGAGGACTGGATGGATAAGAGATGATTAAACAGTCGGGATTTAAAGGTAGGAAGGGTTTTGGATTGACGGATGTGAAAAGGGATGGAGTTCCAAAGGGAAGAGGATCGAATAATAAAAGATTTATCGAAAGCAGCGGTTCAGTGGACCATTATATATAAATCTGAAGACCAGGAACGGGTATTGCGAGAGGACAGAGGATTTAAATTGAAGGAGTTCGACGATGTATAAAAGACAGCGGGAGTGAATTACTTGGAAGAGGAAGGATGCCAGGAAATACGGCGGTAGGAAGGATAAAGCCACTTCAACTCTTCATAGAAACAGGAGCGTCTCTTGGGATCCCGAAGATGAATCGTACAAAGCAATTTATCAAACGTTTTAGTTTCGCCTCGAGATCCTCAGAGACGCCTCCATATACCGTGCAGCAATAGTCAAAGTGGGGAAAAATTAAGGAGGTGACCAGGAGTCTACGGATTTCAAAAGGAAAAAGGTGTCGCAGGCTATTTAAGTGTTTTAGGGTAATATACTGTCGAAAACCAAATTATAACGAGTTGTATTGAAGATATGGATTAAAATATCTCAGAAACTATAAATCGGATCTGTATACTTTAAGCGAGGGAATTGTTCAGCATTTCATCCTCTTTTAATGAGTTATTATTTATAATTTATATTTCATATTATTAATCTCATCTTGTTGATGTTTTCACTTCAATCATGTGGTATAAAGCATACCTTAGTGTTTTTTTTATCTTTTTAAATTCGAAGTCGTCAAAATAACTTGGGGAAGAAAAGGTCACTTTTAGCCGAATCACCCATACAGGTCTATTCAAAGAATTTTAAAATTGTTCAGAAATTGAATTCATTACACTAGAAATGAATAGTAATGTTTTAACTTCATATTAACTTTTGTAATCGATCTTTCACTTCAATGACCTGAAGTAATTTTTTAACTACAGTTCCTTTTTAAGTACAAGTTCCTTAAAATTAAGTTGTGTTTGATATAAGTGCACATTACAATAGCCGATTAAATCATATTGTCGTATTTTAAGATGCAATATGAGGTAACTGAATTTTCATTTCATATTTGGTTGTCATATTACCAATGCAGTGAAAAAATATATGAAATTAAAATAATTTCACAGTTTTGTGTGAAATCACGAATCCAACATTTTTGATTATTCAGTTTTAGTAAATATTCAATTCATCTGTTATTTATTATTGCTTCTTAAGGCAGAATAATTCATTTATTGTGTTAAGATCTTTTATTTTATTCTTTGATGTTAGAAAATATTTAATTTATTTTAAAAACAAAACAAGTTTATTAGAATTAATTATTGACAAAAAAAAAAAAAAAATTAATTTAAGCGTTAACACTTAGCGTCCAATGTTTCTTGAAAGAGGTTATTTTAATCTTGGAAATTTTATAAACCGATAGGAGTACAGTAGCTGATACTTAAATAATTTATGGCTGTCAATGAAACTATATTTTTATTGCAAATAAATATTTTCTAAGTTAATATGTTTCCATACCATGCAATTATAATATTGTTTAAAATATAGAAAAAACATTTGAAAACGTCAGTATGGTTTGTTTAAATGGAAGAATTGTGCAATGTTAATTTAATTTATATTTTGTAATCTTAAACTGGTGTTTCTTGTACTTGAAATATTAAAATTTAATTCTATTTTTATGAGCCTGGACATTTGTTATTTTTTGTGTAAGCTATTTATCTTTTATATTTATACGTACATTTATTATTTTTAGTGTAAATCTAGGAATAATTATAATGGTTTCTCCTGAAACGTGCAGTTATGGATGGAATAATATTTTTAAGACAATGCGAAAATTGTTTAGAAATTTATTGTTAGTCTGTAAAAAAAAGAATTTTTTTTTGTTTAAGATTTATTTATTTAAATGATTATTTATATGTAATTAATATTCTGTTATTTATTTAGTATTAAATACTTTTATAAGTTTTTTATTTTCATTTTTCCTATTCAATCATTATGATACTAAAAGTACCACAAGATTTCACAATTAAAAGTATACACACATTCTCATATATCAGGTGATGTAAGGGCCTGGATGTTTTGCATTAAATGAAGGAAAAAAATCTGGTGTGTCCACTCACACGGCTTTCCTACCTATTTCAGAAAAGTATTTATATCTTTACATACGTCCATCAAGAAACAAAAAAAAAAAAATTAATTAGATTTATTTTCTTGAAAATTGATCAAAGAAAAGATTTGAGTACGATTTATTTGATAAATTAAAGCAATGTAAACCGGCTTAAGATAGATCAGTGTAAACATTTCTATTCCCTCTAATATTGCTGATCAAAAACTTTTTGCCATAGCTTAGTATTGTCAAACAATAATTTCTGTAAAAGTAGAGGAAATAGTGAAGCTTGTGTGATGCCAGCAACAGATTTTCTTACTTTCACTTAGTTATCTTTTTTCTTTCTGACACCAGGATATGAACCCTTAATCTTACATTGGAAATGGAATTGCTGTAACTTCGTTAATACTTGTCCAAAATGAACGATTTTAATATAGTTTTTTGATAATTTAATTACCTTTCAAAACTTTATTATTAATTTTACCATAGAATATATACTTAGCGATTTAGGCCCCAAAACATTTTTCTTTACAACTTTTTTTCCTGAATTTTTTCATTAATTTAGTCTATATACGAAAATTGAAAGGACAATGATTAGAACATTATAGTAAAGTTTCATCAAAACTGTTAGTGCCATTTTGCGCTACAGTCCATAGAAAACAATGTTTTTCATTTATTGTGCATGATGCACCCAATTGATGTCGCAGGCATCAGTAGTCAAAACCTTATAAAATAAAAAAAAGAAGCAACAAAATCGATTCCTTAGTTGCCGAGAAAACCTTGGCACAGACTGACGAATGGCTAAATATATGTTTTTCAAACTTAGGGGGCTCTGAAATGTATAGATCCGTCGAAAACAACATCGGAAATTTGACCCGTTGGCAATACTTTCCTTACCTAGTATAGGTAGAAAAGTAATAAACAATTGTTAGCAGTACATTGATTAATTTTAATCTAGAATTTCCAAGTTAAGTATAGGCACTTTTATAGATTGTAATTTATCCTTTAAACTTGATTTGTTTTTGACTATAAATCATCATAATATTTTTTCCCTAAACACTGTTATCCCTACAAGGTTACTCTCTCCAATCTATACCTTTCCTAACACCTATTCCCCAGAAGAGAGTGTTTTAGCTCTTCCCAGGATCTTGCTGCAGGATCTTCATCTTGGTCTCCTTTTCTCCACACAGGTCTAAAAAGTATTCCTGATGATTGATTATCTTAAGGAAGTGTACTACACACACACACTATATACACAGGGGGACGACTGACCTGGAAAAATTGGAAAAGTCACAGAATTTTCAAATCAGGCAGAAGTCAGGGAAAAATTGTTGAATTTTTTCAGTACGTAAATTTTTTTTTTTCAAATAGGAAATAAATATACTGTGGATATCGTTTATAATGAAGTTGAAGGGGTAAACTTTGTCTTAATAAACGACCACTGTCGCTATATTCATCCATTTTTGTCTATCAATAATGGCACTGGTTATTATTTTGAACTCAAACAAGGGTAATGAATAAAATTTATGTAAAATGGAATTGAAACAGAACTTCTTGAATAGAAAAACATACCAATATACTATTTACTATCATATATGTATCTGAGACAAGACCTGGCTGGCAAGCATTCATTCGTTCGATCCATGGTGCTCCTTAAATAAGCATTTATTAACCAGAAATGTCATAGTTATTTTCATAATATTATGGATAATTATTATGCTGTGTATAATAATAAAGAAACTAAATTAATTATGAGAAACTAATATTATTAATAATATTAGTATCCGCTGTGGCTCACTTTATTTTATAGAAGAGAAAATCTTAGCTTTATGCTCATATGTCAGGTATCAACTTTTAAAAAAAAATAAAATAAAAGCGACAGAAATAAGTGATAAAGTTTAGTTTTCTAAAATAAAAATTTTAATCAGACTTAAAAAATGCTTTCTCTAAAGCATTATATTTTTTATTTAAGACTGATTTTTTTTTACTCAAGTGATTTTATAGAATTTTCTTTCATGTATAATAAATAAATATAGTGATAAATTATACATTTTTAATAGGAAAAGTCACGGAATTTTACTTTAACTGGCTGGTAGCCGCCCTGATATATATTAAGCCAGGTCACAGAAACTGTGCTGCCCTGCTTTACATCTCAATGTGTGTCCAGTCTTTGGAATTCCTTTTAGAACTTAGTGTGACCAACAATATTATAAAATTATTAATTGATATGGACCTTAAAATAGCAAAGGGAGCAGATTAGTTCAATGAGTAAGATAATGTGCACCAATACTCCAGATTGGAGTCCGACTGATTATTTATTCTGTTTCATTAGCCATTGGTCAACCTTGGAATGGATAGGTCCTCCTGGGATACCCAGGCTCTATAAAGTGGGTATATTAATTAAATTATTGATATAGAGGAAAAACCGGTCAAATAACTTTCTTGTACAACCGTTGACCAAGTAACGGTACTTCCTTACAAAATACTGAGGCTCCAACCCGTTCTTAGCTAGCAGTGGTTCAGGTTTATTTTATTATATATATATTTTAGAATCTTAATAGAATAATTTTTGAACTTTCATTCTAAAATGGGTTGTAATCTGTCTTTTCTAGTTCAGTTGGGAATATATAAGCAGGTTAACTAATTTGCAAAGCAACAAGAAGGGGGTATAAAAAAAAAATTATTTTCTTGGCTGATATTATTTATTCAATCTATAGATCAATCATACAGCAGAAATACCAACATTATGTAACCTATATTAACATAACCACTAATTGCTTTAGTAAAATTTGAATAATTTATCATGATTACCAATGTTTATATATATAAACATGATTAAATTTATAAAAACAAGATCCCATATGTTTCTGATCTCTACATCCTATTGGATGAAAACCTATGAACATTCCTTCTTAGCCCGCTCCGTTACCTTCTGAAACTCCTTGCCACACAACATCCATCATGCTTCTTCTCTGTCATCTTTCAAATACATGCTTATTCAACACTTCCTTACATCCTAACCAGAAGATCCTCAATCACAAAATTTCATTTTATGATTTGAATTTATGAGAAGCAAATGGTGATCCCTACTGTTTAAGTTAGCATAAGAAATCAATGATTATTTTTTTACCTAGTCTGATTATTATTTTTACCATTTACTTGCTTTTGTCTTTCTGGGCATGCATATTTATATATATATGTATTTTATTTTATTTTTTCATTTCAACTATAATCATACTTGAGAAGATTTTTTGTTTAACTGTTAACATATTTTTTAATAAGTATTATATGTATTGTTAGAAATTTTAGTGTTAGTTTTTATTACTAATGTTTATAGTTTGACATCTAAATCAATGTTATTTAAATAACATCTTACTTTTGTTATTTAATTTTATTTATTATTACTTTTTTTTTTCATTACAACTACAAGTATTCCTGAGAAGATTGTATTTTTATTTTATTATTATTTTTTTTTTTTTTGTGTTTGCATATTATTATTTAAATCACTGTATATATTATTATATTTTGTATTAAGTTAGTTTTTATTATTTAGTCTATTGTTTAGATTTTATCACAAAAATCGATTTTATATTCATTTATTTTTTGTAATGGTTTACATACAATTATTTAAATTACTGTATATATTGTTAGAATCTTTATCAAGGTAGTTTTTGGCCAAATATGTATTTTCTTTTGTATTTGTTCATTATTGTTATTCTAAGGGGGCTTAGTCCCAGAATAAAGTTCAATTTTCTATTCTAATATATTCTATATATATATTTGTATTTGTTGATTTTTTAATCGCTTTATATTTTGTAAATTACTTTTAGATGTTCTAGGTATATTTCATTTAAACCCATACAGACATACTCCTCACTATAATATACAAGAAACTCAATTTAAATTTTCCAATTAAAATCATCAATGATTATTAATGCAATGTCCAATAAAAGTACGTACCTCTAAGTACATAATTACTAAAACATGACACCCCAAACCAGAGGTCTCCAAACTATTGCCCACAGGCCGGATCTGTTCCGCAAACAATTCCAATACGGCCCACGAAAGATTTTTTTAATTACATGATAAAATTTTAAAATTATGAAATTTAATAAATCACTTAAATATGAGGTTATTACAATATTTACAGCATTGGTTAAGTTTTTTTTATCTTAGAAAGCTCATTTCACAACTGAAGTGTAATTTATAGAACAAGCTTCTTTTTTTTTTTTTTGTCACAAGCCAAGACTCATGAGACTTGTTGGAGGTTTCAATGCGACCCGAGGGACTTATAGAAGATCTTAATGTGGCCCGCAAGCCAAAAAGTATGGAGACCTCTGCCCCAGACTAAAGTCTACCGACACATGAAGATTCTACCTATGATTTAATAGTACCTTACAGGGACATACCAATATCTAAAAATAAAAAAAAAAGGGCATTTAAAAATGAGCGGATGAGAGAATTTTCCTAAAAATTAACTAAGGTAAGTGAATCAACTTGAGTAAGAGGTTGTGGTATGTATTACTTTTATTCTTCCCTTACATATCATTTCCAATATCGATGAAGTTGAACACCTTGTTAATTTTCCTTAATCTCTTGACAAGTGCAAATTTATATTTGTTAGTAAGTTTACTGTTCATTATTTTTTATAGTCAAAACTGCCACTTTTTCTATAGTATTTAAAGAAACTCATTCATACAACAGACATTATTGATCTAGATTTAATTTCTTTCATTATTATATTTCTGTTGAAGTCAGTCTACTTCTTTTTTCTAGTTCTACCACCCTATGGTTTTACGATGGTATTCATATCCATAAATGTCAGGAAGTCACAAAATTTTCCTGAAAAATATATATAGATTAAAAAAAAATTCTGGGATGAATTCCTTTAAGAATAACCAAGTTGCAAAAAAACAAAAAAAAAGCATTACTTCTGGCCAGAAGGTTTTTTAAATTAAATAAATACAAAATATTTCTTCAATCTAATAGCTTACCAAATTGGACCTATTTATGAAGGCAATAGATTATTTTTAAACTTCCTGTAGAATGACTGAAGTTTTTCGTTTTAAATTAATGGTGGAAGCATTCAGAGATACATTTTTGAAGGATGGTATTCTTTTCATGGTGACTGGAGGAATTGTTTTCACTGATAACTTAAATGTCCCTTCCAAACCTGCACTAAAATAAAAAGTATGAAGATTATTCTACTAAATCTTACATTTTCAAAAGAAAAAAGAACTGTGGTTTATATTTAATTTAAATTTTGTGTTAATTTTGGATATCCTATAGATATAGAAAACAATATACAGGCATGAAAATATGTAAATATAAACTATGAAAAATTAAAAGAAAAAAACAAATGAATAAAAGAATAAACTTTGTAACTCTTTATAGAATGGAACTACATTTGGTCATATTTGGAAAAAATTGTTAGTAGTTTCAGGGACTTATATTGAGCTAAAAAAAAAAAATAAAAGTAATTATCATTCATAATTCATAAACAAAACAAAAAACCCTTTCCAAAATGAAATCCTGAACCTGCCATTGCAACTAATATTAAAAGTTATTTCTTGAGTACTTATCCTTGTGTTTACTACTAATCCATGTTAAATGTCAATGAGAGAAAAACAGGAATCACAGGTTAACATCTTATTAACAGAAATAAGTTATTTTTTTTTTTATAATCAGAACATGATTTTAATTTATGTACTTAAATACTGCAGGGATGATAACATAGAGTCCGGGTGTCAGTTTGAAGTGTTGTTTTACTTGTCTCCAATTGACAAAGGCCCCTGTGTCTCCTGCTGGCGGCATACACAGAAAGTATTCTGCGCTCAGCCTTTCTTCCATACTGTCAGTCTAAAAAAAAATAAATTATAAAATCTTCAAATTTTACTAAGGGTACATATTACTAAATAAAGTTTATAGCATCGAAGACGAAAATATTTGAACTCTAATACATTTTTTAAATGGTTCAGTTCATTTTTAGTTCTCGAACATGTTTCGGGTTATTTTTCCCATTTTCATCTCGAAAATTATATAATCCATCAAACCACATTTTATTTCATTATCGCAAAAAATGTTTCCTTAAAATTAAGTTGTCATATTATACAATTCATAAATTCTTTTTGATCAGTCAAATCTGTGGATAGTAAAAAAAAGAAAAAAAATAGAAATTGTATGAAAAGTATTCAAATGTTAAAACATTTTTGTCTTATTTAAACAAAAGCTTACTGTCCACTGTGAGCTGTGGGCTTATCTGAAAAAAATATCTGAAATAGGTATTCATCTATTCAAAGTGGACATTAAGCTTTTGTTTAAATAAGACAAAAATATTTTAACATTTGATAATTTTCATATTTTTTTTTACTGTCCACTGAATTGACTGTTCAAAAAGAATTTATGATATGACAACTTATTTTCTGATTTTACAATGGAAAAATTCATATAAGTTCTTAGTGATTTAAGATTATGAAATGTTAATAGAATGAATTTTTGCAATCCTATATTGTTATGTTTATTCTAATTTCTTGTCAACAATATAGTCCTTACAATTTTTAAATCTATTATTCATGTTCATTTCAGTCATTTTTTTTTTTTTTTTTTTTTTTCTCACAGCTATATATTAGAACTGGTTTTATCATAGACTTGTACACCCTAAGTTTGAGATTTCTTGAGATTTTTCAGTCCATATATCCATAATAATTTGTCAGTTATTAAAAGATTAAATTTCAAAATTTAACAAGATGTGCTAATATTAATAAAAAATCTTAGACTATATTTAATAAAATGATTTCAGTAATATCTGTACAAACATTACGTTTTATAAATAATTATGTAATTACTTCCATAAATATTAACACAAGGATTAATTAAAATTAGTTCAATCTACCTTATAAATGAAAAATGCAACATGAAGAGGAGGCTGTGATAGGTTGGTCTGCGTAAGACATATATGAACATCTATATAGTTCAAACTCGGATCTGGAAGGTAGAAGTCATCATTTTTAGGATGTTTATCAGGAGGTCCGATCGCAATCAAATATTGAGGGTTGATCGAGAACATTTCCAGGTCATTTCTAGATCCTCCAGCGCTATGACCTGCTTTCCAGTTCCCGACTGTTTCCAAGCACACTAAATTTTGGTACTGCAAAGAAACAAATATATTACATTTAGAAAATATAAGTCCTGTAGAATATTATTAAAATAATATAATTGACATTGCAATTTTCAAATAATAAAAAGAAGGTTCTTATTTAGCTAAAAACTTGAAATATCAATGCATCTAGAATATTTAGTGGAGTATGGAGGTGAAATAATGATCATCATCATATGTGGCACGACATCCCGTTACCGAGACTGGGCCTCCTCCAAGAGCCTCCGCCAGTTGGCTCTGTCTTCTGCTGCAGCTCTCCAGTTCCGTACACCAAGCAGGGTTCTCGCATCATAAGCCACGTTGTCCAACCACCTCGTCCTCGGCCTTCCTACCCGTCTTGCGAGGTGCAGCTCCTCCATCATTATTTTCTTGGGTATCTCAACGGTGCTCATTCTGGCCACATGCCCTGCCCACCTTAATCTGGCCAGTTTAATATACGTGACTACGTCGATGTCTGTATAAAGAGAACTAAGCTCCCTATTTTTTCTTTTCCTCCAGACATCACCCTCCTTTACTGGACCATAAATCCTTCTGAGGACTCCTCGCTCAAACACACTCAGCTTCATCTCATCGTTTTTAGTCATTGTCCAAGCCTCTGAGCCATATGTCAAAACAGGCCGTACAAGGGTCTTGTATATGATCATCTTGGTCTTCTTTGAGAGATACCTACTTCTTAAGTGCCGGCCAAGTCCAAAGGCACATCTATTGGCAGCCGTGATCCTTCTCTGTATTTCTTGAGCCATGTCATTTTTGCTATTAATTTCAGACCCAAGGCATATAAAACTTTTTACTCTCTCAAACTTAAAAGAACCTACCTCAAATGGAGAGTTCAGATCCACCTCACCACCAACTCTCATATACTTAGTTTTCCTCTCGTTGACTTCTAGACCAAGTGGTCTTGCAGCTGCTTCAAGGCCTATAAACGCTTCTCTGAGAGCCCGTTCAGACCTACCTATTATGTCAATATCATCAGCAAAACCAAGAAGCTGTGTCAGGCGATTGAAGATTATATCGTTGGTCTGAATACCGGAGTCTCTTACAGCTTTCTCCTCTGTCAAGTTGAACAATAGACAGGCGAGGGCATCCCCTTGCCGAACCCCACTGCTCACTTTAAACTCTTCGGAGGCATCAGAACCGACGCGTATTCTACATTTCGAGCTGTCCATGGTCATCTTGATTAGGCGTACGAGCTTCTGAGGGATGCTTAGCTCCTCCAAGGCACAGTATAGTTGTGTTCTATCAACACTGTTGTATGCTGCTTTAAAGTCCAGGAATAAATGGTGGGTGACTACCTTACGCTCCATAGTCTTTTCTAGGATCATCCTCAGAGAGAACAGTTGATCAGTGGTTGAGCGTCCTCGTCGAAATCCAGCCTGATATTTCCCCAGTTCCTTTTCAGAATACGGGAGGATCCTCTCAAAATAATGATGGCGTGAGATATACCACTGCCACACATGATCATGATACTATGAGACATTTTTTAGCTCTACTATGATATGAATACGCTTTTATAAAAGGCACTAAAATATGTTTTGACCGAAATATTTTTATTCAGAGACAAATGGATGAGAGAAGATATGGAAAGATATTTCTTGGATGGAAGTTATGAAACTGGAAATTCTAAAATGAATAAGATACTTAACGGTATGTGCTTTGCTCTGGCAGCCTAAGTTTAGCTGTTTCCACTTTCTCGATATAACTCTGCCCCTACCGTTTTCTTTAACACTAACTATTTTTGCAAATAGCCATCAGAAAAATTCAACACTTTGTGTTTTTATTATTATGACAAGATTTTCACCAATAAATAAAAATTAAAACTTCACTCAAGTATCCAATTTACATTTTTTTTTATCACTAACTCTTCTTCTTGTGTTCATCCACAACCCTCTTCTATCCTCTCAATGTTCGGAAGAAGAAGTTTAACCAACTACTTATCTCCAGCTGTACAAAATGGCATGTAGTACAAGTAGTTCTTCTTGACCATTATAAGTGACAGATTTCTGCCAGAAAATAGATCCTTCTTTCAGCAGCTTACCTCTCAATGCCTCTTTGGCTGTACAGAGAAGTACTATACGCTTAGCATTCTGCAGTGCATCGTGACATTGCTCGAAGGATCTCATGACCTATGATACGCATTAGTCCTAGAAGATCCTTGTGGTTTACAGTTGCGAAACTGACAGAGAGAAAGAACTTTCTTGAAGTACTTTTGGGTTTGTCACTCATCACTAGTTATATTCTTCTTACGCGTTCTCCTGGAAGATACTTTTCCATCTCCTGAAGTCTCCGTGGATCATCAATATGAGATTTTCTGGTAGATCTAGCAGGCTTATATTCTTCATTATGTACCAGAAATATTTTTTTCATAGGAGAAGGTCTATAGGTATACTTTCTGATAAGTCTCATAGACTCTAATTATTGGCAGCAGAGCCATCTATTGGATCTTTGTCAATCTTCTCTACTGTTGGTGCAATAGATTGCGACTCCACACAGTTAAAGTATATCTGTGGATTCTCACAATTATATTTAGACAACCTATTGGAAATATTTTAGATCAGAAATTAAATTTAACAAGATGAACAATAAAAAATATTAATAATAAAATTATGTTTTTAAATTATGAATAAAAATACATCTTCATTTAGTTGTAGGCCAATCTGCTCTGTCTGTCTTATCAGAGTCTAAGAGAGTTTCTGAATGTCCTCTTGATTACTTCCAAGAACAGCTATATCATCTGGGTATGCAAGGATTTTATGATTCATTCCAACGTGGACCCCTCCATTTTCCTATGATGTTGTTCATATCACCTTCTCCACGGCTAATTTGAACAACATCGGTCCATCTCCTGTCATAAGCCCATTCGAACTTTGAAGGCTTCCGATACTTCTCTTTGTATTAGGACTCTACAATTAGGTTTAGTAGGATACTGGTCATTATCTTGTAGGCAACCAGAAGGTAATTTAATGCAAGATGGAGCAGGCTTGTTAACATGACGAAAGATCTAAAAGGTCTGTAATACCAGCAGAAAAAAAAAACTATATGTATATGTATCAATTTATCTTATATTTTATACCTGAAAATTTACTGGACCTTCCTCCCAATCACTTGTTATGATATTGTATTCATCATTTACAAAAACATCAACCTCTTCTTCCTGAACAAATAATATAATTTTATTAGCTATTCTCAACTTATAAACGAGCTATCTAATGTTTTTAAAACATCTAATACAAACCTGTATAATTCTAGTATGTCCTAAATATCGTTTTTTAACTTGAGGCACTACATTGTGTTGATTCTCTGAGATAACTGAGCTTGTGCAGCCCATATAGGGCTAAAAGGTAACCTGTTAAAACAAAAATATTATTAAGAGAAATTTAAATTAAAAATTATATTTGAAAAAAAAAAGGTTTGCATAAAATTTTAATTTTTGTTTTCAAATATATTCTCTTCATGTTGTACATGTCATGTTACCAATGTCACATTTACTTGTATTTTTCATGTAATACAGTTGTAAATTTCATTAAAATAAAAAAAAAAAATTAAATAATTAGGAAACAAGAACAGAACCAATTTGAAACAAGAAACGTTTTAATATCTAGGAACAAAATAAACATTACAAAGTCACTCATGCATTCATTATTTTGAAGCTATAGCAAGGAAAATAAATGTATTTGAATTTTATAAATGATAAAAAAAAAAAAAACTGGTTTAATTTTTATATTAAACTAAATTGTATTAATTGTGTGGTATTAATAGTATCAACTGAAGGAAATATCAGTTAAAAAAAATATATATCCAGTGCTTTTTGTATTTTTTAATAACTGAAGTATATATATATATATATTAAATTTCATGCCTAACATCCCTTGAAAAAAAAAAAATAATAGAACGGTTAGTTGTAATTAAAAAGTTTTGTAAATTGATCTTTGTTGGCATTTAATTATTATATTATCAATTTAAAAAAATTAAAATAAAATATGTGAACCAAATGATAAATGAATATTGGGATAATCATCCCTATTATTTAAATTATGAAAAATAAAATTCATCTTTTGAATAAAGTAGTAAATTTGAAATATTAGAAAACAGTTAATATCTAATGAAAATTAGATTAGATGAATACTAAAAGAATAGTAGTATTCATTTTTGAATACCATTAGACTATCATGTGAGTATTTGAGTCACTATAAAATAAACCTTTTATGAAAATAATAACAATATTTAGTTTAAAAATTGTTGTATTATAATATCCAAATTAATTCATATTATTATAATAAACAAATAATTCCTATATTTAATTGTGTGTGGTCTAATATAAGAACAAACGTGAACATTTTTGAGTACCTAAATAAATAATAAGTTATTTAATTGGTTAAAAAAGTTAGAAGTTATATGTCACCAAAAACTAAGCCATGTAATAGGATTTATTGATCTAAATGACCATGAAACTAATATGATTTTTGTAATTATTCGAATTTAAAGTTTCATATTGATTTCTATATGAATCTTAATTGATAGAGAGAAAATTTTATATAGGTTGATATACCATTACTATGAGGTCTTGAATTAAATTTAAATATATGAAAAAATTAAAAGAAGCATTGTTGACAGAATCACTGTAAAAATTGTTTAATATAAATATAATATACTATTTTTTTCAGGAAATTTTATAACTACTTACAGTATTCATATTATTTGAGTGAATTTTTTTTTTCACTTCTAAAATTAAGAATTCCAGAGGAACTATGATAATAATCAGATATAAACAATGGAAAAATAAGTTTTTTTGTTATGATTGAGTGGAATTTAAGGATTTAAAGGCATAACATAGTAGATATTTCACAAAAGATTAACTTAAAACAAGGAGAATATTATTGATAAAAGAAGGTTTTAAATGAAATTATATGAATCTAAAAGGATTGAACTTAAGAATTTTCTGTAAAAATTGATAAAAAAACTCTTATTTTTTATTTATTTAGCATTATAAACTACAATGCTTTGCCTATAAAATTGTTTTTGAGTTCCTTTCTAATTTAATTTAGTGATTATTATGCTATTGTTTTTATAATGCTATTGTTTTAGCTTCAACATTGTATGTAGTATTGAACTCCTATTACCCAACTGTTGTCGTTAATTTATCCTAAGAGCAATTATACTTAATTTATTACTAATGTTTTGCACTGGCGGATCTACGGTGGGGGGAGGGGCTTCCGGGCTGAAGCCCCCCCCCCAAAATGGAAAAATATAACCATGTTTTATGGGAAAAAAAATTTTAAAAAACACCTCTTAAAGTATTATTGTTCGTGTAATTACATTTAAAAGTACTTAAGGAATAACTTCAACACCATTTCATATAGGTAGTTAGTTTCTTTCTGTTTTTCCAAAGTAATTATCGTTAGTTTTATGAAAAAAAAGGTTTCGGGCTGAAGCCCCTCCAAAATTAAATCCTGGATCCGCTAGTGGTGTTTTGTTATTATTCATTGTAATAGGTCTTTTTGTTATTCTAAAGGGACCTAGTCCCAGAATAAAGATGATTTTTTTTATTCTATTGAAATAATTTTAATTAGTATTATAAAATGAGTTATGTTTCTGAAATTTTTTTTTTTTGACCTGTAGATAAGGCGAATGACCTTGAAAGGTCAAATGAAAATGTTTACATCTGGTTAATTAAAAATTTGAGGTATGTTATATTAAAAGTTATATGTAAATAAATATTAAATAGAAATAAATATATAACAAATAAAAGTTACATGACAAGTAATGAAAAAAATTGTCTCCTATAAATAAAACAAAGAACAATACAGAATCAAATAAAAATTAATATTGGAAGAAAACATTATACTTATACATACAAATAAATAATAAAATTGTGTATTGACATAGCTATAAATATTTATCGACAACAGAACATAATAGTTTTTTTTTTAAAGAGTACATCATTAAATTTTATTTTAATATAAAATAATAATTATTCTATAGTATACTAGTATACAAATTTAAAAAAAATAATAATAGACAAGAACTAAGATGTAAAAGATATGAGAATTAAGTTTAAGCGGGTACCAGTACAGTCCACTAGATGGAGTTTTCCTTGAAGCACAGTTCTCAAGCCAGGTCACTCTCTTTATGCAAGCAATCTTCGATATCGCGTGCTCCAAGGCAACTAAACTCACAAACTGACCGCTATGGAGTCAATAACAATATATCAGGATTCCCATCCAACGAATTCGTGTTCCCTTAGTTATACTGCAATATTTAATATTAATAGAAATCACGAAAACGTGAGAGTTTATATTTTAGTATTTTTTTAACAAGGTAAAAAAGAACAAAGATGTTTCCTATTTAGTGGCCAATTTTTGTTACTTTATATTAAATTAATGAAACCTGGACCACAGAACACTTCGAAATGTAAAACCCACCTTAAGGACCCCTTAAAGGGACAATATAATTGAAGGCAATATATTGAAGAGGTACCTCACACGGGTCAATTATATTGAGTCAATATTATATCAGTTAAGATCTTGCTTCCACTAAACAAGGAGGTTTCCAAAGAGATAAACTTACTTTTTTGTGGTAATGAATATACTATTACTTTAATTATCTTGGCTTTAGCATAAAAAAAAGTGCCTTTGTAATGTTTATTTTGTTCCTAGATATTAAAACGTTTCTTGTTTCAAATTGGTTCTGTTCTTGTTTCCTAATTATTTAATATTTTTTTAATTTTAATGAAATTTACAACTGTATTGCATGAAAAATACAACAAGTAAATGTGACATTGGTAACATGACATGTACAACATGAAGAGAAACTACCCATTGGTAGAAATCAAATTAAAGTTCTATATTAGAAGGTCCCGAGGCCATCTTCTTTTCAGACGCCTCGGAGGGTTATCAGGGATCGAGGAGGAAGCAAGGTTTGAAACAAGAGGGTTCGGATGGTTCTGCAGTTTTTTATGGAAGGATAGGTATCGGGATTGGGCCAAATCGGAAACATTAAGGTCTTTATTTGTGACCAAGTAAGGAGCGTTGTGGATTTTAGGAAGGATTTTGGATTGTAAGGATTGGATATGAGAGGAATTCGATGGTTTAGTGGAGCCCCAAAGCTCAATTCCGTAAGTCCAAATAGGTCTTATTATTGTCATATATATGAGTCGTTTGTAATTGATTGAAAGCTTAGAGCGTTTGTCTAGTAAGTGCTGCAGTAGTCGAAAACGTCGGGCGGTTTCTAGTCGTTTCAGTCTGGTATGGTCCAAGTGAGTCGTTTGTCCAGGTGGAGTCCTAGGTATCGGATTTGTTCGACAGGGATAAGAGGGCTATTGTTGAAGGATACTGTAGGACAGGAAGTCATAGGTTTACGACGAAGAGTGAAGGTAATTTGATGGGATTTATTTTAATCCTCCAGTTTTGACACCATTTTTCAAGACTTGTGATGTGTGATTGAAGAGTTTGGGGTGCAATAGGTGGATCGTTATTAACTGATAGGATACACGTGTAATCGGAATAGGTATTTAATATTTAAAAGAAAGTTTAGTAATAAAAATTTTCTTTTTATTAAATTGTGTATAAAAGTATTACCCACCTACTCAAATATATTGTCATTTTGTCTTTAAAAAATAATTCGAAGGGGGGAGGTTAACCCACCTCTAAAAAAAATTATAATAAAACTATAAATATGTATGCGTTTTATCTTTTAACAAAAATTATCGGAGGCGGGATTAAACCCCCCTAAAAAAAGTAAAACCCTCACCTACCGAAATATATATCCATTTTATCTTTTAAAAAAATATCAGCGGGATTATGATGACGTTTATACATTGACCTTGGGGGGATGGGCACTCCTGAATCTGGAGATAGGCAAACTGTCTATTTAATCAGGTACTAAAAACTCATGAATACCCATTTGCTATACACTTGAATTGTAAGATATGATCACAAAAGATAAAAAAAAAAAGTGGCCTACAAAAATATCGGGGCCTTTGGCCTACATAACCTCGTTATTTTAACTCTATCGAGATGGAGTTCATGCCAAACGGATTAAATGAAGGATCCATGCGACCGGTTAGTTTGTTTAACAACTTTAACTGCCCCTGATGAAACGACAAGAAACAGCTCGACGTTTCCGACTACTTCAACACTTACTAGACAAACGCTCTAACCTTCCAATCAATTATAAAAGACTCATTTACATGACTATAATAAGGCCTATTTGGACTTAAGGAGGTTGAGCTATGGGGCTTCACCAAGCCTTCAAATTCCTCTCGCATACAGTCCTTGCAATCCAAAATCCTTCGTAAAATCCTCAATGCTCCTTACTTTGTTACAAATAAAATTATCCATAATGACCTTAATGTTCCTTATGTATCAGATTTGGCCCAATCCAGATATCTGTCCTTCCATAATAAACTTCATAACCATCCCAACCCTCTTGTCTCTAACCTTGCTTCCTGTTCGATTCCTGATAACCCTCCGAGGCGTCTGAAAAGAAGATGGCCACGTGATCTTCTAATATAGACATATTATTAGAGTGCTACCAATGGGTAGTTTCTCAACATGTGTTCCATGTCTTTATACCAATGTGCGAATTTACCAGATGTATTTTTTTGTATACAGTTGTAAATATCATTTAAAATAAATAATAAATAATAATAAAACTGCCCCTGGAAATATCAGTTGTAAATACTCCTATTTCCCTTTTTGTTAATGAAGCATTTGTGGTATGTTTGACGGGTTTTGCAAACATGTAAACGCGCCTTTGGATTTCAACAGAGAATGATAACTTTCGTTCACACTCATTGCTGTTCCGAGTGTACACATTATACGTTTAATTATGGATTTTCTAAAATAATAAACGAAATAACTTTCTTTATTTCATAAGTCGCTAAGGTTGACGGTCACGGAAGGTAAATGTATCGGATTGCATAATTTATAACCGAAGTAGGATGATTTGCATAACAAGCCGAACTACTGACCAACTCAGGAAGTAGAAAGCGTTCCAACTCGACCCGCCTTCCAGCTGGTTAACATTTCATTGTTGCATTATTACCTTTCAGAAAGTAACCTCTTAGTTATTACTCATGTTTGGTTGCTGGCATTGTTGTTATTTTTGAAATGAACACTTCTTCAGACGCGTTTGGCACTTTTATCGTGGAGAGTGAATTAGATTGAGCCGTCAGACCTCCGATGTGTAACGTTCGGATAAAATCCGTTTGAGTCGACTAATTGAAGTGTTTTGTATATGGATTAAAATATCTCAAAACTGAAAATCTGACCTGCATACTGTAAGCGAGGGAATTGTTCAGCATTTCATCCTCTCTGTAATGAGCTATTTCTTAACGCGACGTCGTGTATATAAGAAGCAATAGTGTGCAATAGCAATGTAAATAAGAAGAAATAGTGTCGAAAACCAAATGATAACGAGTTTTATTGAAGATATGGATGAAAATATCTCAGAAAATAAAAATCGAACCTGAATACAGTAAGCGAGGGAAATATTCATCCTCTCTATAATGAGTTGTTATTTATAATTTATATTTCATATTATTAATCTCCCCTTGAAAATTATAACAGCAAAATTAACAAATAAAAGTAACATACAAAAACATGTGTTAGAATTAAAAATTGAGGTTACAAAATGGTCAGTAAATATTTATAAAATAAATGTGTCTGCTTCAATCACAATTGGAATAGAAAATGTAGCTTTTCGTGTTTTATGAAAATCTGTTAAAAATAATTATAATTTACTTTGGAAATAAATGACTCATTTAATAATTTATTAATATTATTTATTTATTAATTAATAAAATACTAAATTTGTAATTTAAATATTTAAATATTTGCTAAACTATAATTTAAATTATAGTCCGTAAACCAACGACTGCCTGTCCTACAGATTCCTTTAACAATACTCCACTTATCCCTGTTGAGCAAATCCGATACCTAGGACTCCACCTGGACAAGCGACTAACTTGGAATCCCCATACTAGACTGAAACGACAAGAAACCGCTCGACGTTTCCGATTACTTCAGCACTTTCTAGACAAACGCTCTAAACTTCCCATTAATTACAAAAGACTCATATACTTGACTATAATAAGGCCTATTTGGACTTACGGAGTTGAGCTATGGGGCTCCACTAAACCATCGAATTCCTCTCGCATCCAATCCTTACAATCCAAAATCCTTCGTAAAATCCTCAATGCTCCTTACTTTGTCACTAATAAAATTATCCATAAAGATCTTAATGTTCCTTATGTTTCAGATCTGGCCCAATCCGGATACCTATCCTTCCATAATAAACTTCAAAATCATCCGAACCCTCTCGTTTCTAACCTTGCTTCCTCTTCAATTCCTGATAACCTTCCGAGGCGTCTGAAAAGAAGATGGCCCCGTGATCTCCTAATGTAAACATATCATTAGAGTGCTACCATTGGGTAGTTAATCAGCAAGTGTATTCATGTCATTATATCTATTATGTCCAAATTTACTAGATGTATTTATGTAATACAGTTGTAAATGTCATTAATAAAAGAAAAAAAAAATAATAGTCCGTGGTACAGACCCGGTTTTATCAAATTAATAACATAAACTTCGTAAATAGCTTGTTGTCATCTTAAACTACAGATATATAAATTAATTAAGAAGCATAATAATTAGGTATTAAAAACTCGTAAATACTCATTTGTTTTCCACTTGAATTGTAAGATAATTTCATAGCAAACTCGAGAAAAAAGGTAGCCTACAAAAATATCGGTTGGTGTGACCTACACCCCCAACATTTCAAAATAATGAGGTTATATAGTCCAAACGGCTTATATACCCTTTATTCTCGATTTTGTGATCAAATTATCTTATGATCCAAGTGGAATGCAAATGAGTATTTACATAGACAAAGTTTGCCGATCTCCAGATTGAAAATGCCCAAATTCCAAGAGTTTTCGTAAAGAAAATAGTTTTAGGTTAAGATGAGATGAATCTATTCACGAAGTTTGAGGTGGTTGTTAATAATTTGATAAAAAGCGGTCTTTACAACAGACTATATCTCTCTTCTTCCCGAATCTTACACCATTTTATTTTCTCTCCACGAATAATAACAAGGCTCCTTAAACTTTCTATATTTTTACGAAACCTCTTTGGAAAATGCTCAGAAATATAATATTTCTCAGAGAGAATAAATTTTTGAAATAGGAAGTGAAGTAGGCATAAGTAAAGACTTCCGATATTACCTAACTCT